ATTCACCCACACAAAAAGAAAAATCCATGATAGAATTAAAACTAGGAAATCAAGTAGCTTTCTTTCATAACTTGTATCTACTCCCTGCATCCTGTCCTTCCTCACCACCTAATAATACCCTTTCTTGTTCTTCTCTCTACCTGTTATACTATACCCACACACATGTACACATCATAAACTACAGAGAACATGCAAGTTTTCTCTATAATTGGGTGACCCCAATATTATATAAATCTCTTCTGAAATCACATCTTGATTTAGAGTCTGAATAACATTGGGGTTCTTCAGAAAAGACGGGAACAATCAAGTGTGCATGTGGCTATGCATGTATGTTTCCATATAAAGACTGACAGTCAGGAGTCTGCTTGTGTGAATGTGAAGCTGCAAAGTTGGACTACCTGCAAGGATGAAGATCCGGGGAGAGTTGGTACCCCCTCTGGGGCCCTAGGGCAACATGAGCTTAATGAATGTGGTAGTTTAAATAAGTGACATCCCCCATAGGTTCACATATTTAACACTTGGTTCCCAGTTGGTGGTCCTGTTTGGAGAGGCTGTGGAACCTTTAGGAGGCAGAACCTTGCTAGAGGGAGTATGTCACTGGGAACAGACTTTGAGAGTTTTTAGTCTCACCCCACTTCCAATTCACTCAACATTGGGTTTGGGTTTGGAGATATGATCTCAGCCTTGCACACTACTACAATGCCTCCCCTGCCACTACAGACACCCCCTCTGGAATGAGCTAAAATTAATTTTTCCATAAGTTGCTTTTGCTCATGATGTTTTATCACAGCAGCAAAAAGTAACTAATACCATGTAATTGGATCACAAGAATACTGCACTATGGCCAAAGAGAGTTGTTGAGCATTGTGTAGAGTTAGTTATTCATTCTTTCTCTCTTCATTGTCAACTAAGTCTGTGTAAAGACTGAAGAAAGTAAAGACACATTTTAGGTTGCCATTGGCAAATAAGTTTTTAGATGGGAGTATTCTGGGAGTTGTGACTTGTTTAAAACCAGAAACAGGCTTGAGGGGGGGGGCACACGCCTTTAATCTCAGCACTTGGGAGGCAGAGACAGGCAGATATCTGTGACTTTGAGGCCAGCCTGGTCTACAGAGCAAGTTCCAGGACAGCCAGAGCTGTTACAGAGAACCATGGAGCCTGTATGAGTCTAAGCTAGGTCCTCTGCTTTTACGTTATGGTTGTGTAGCTCAGTGCACTTGTGGAACTCCTAACAGTGGAGATAAGGGTGTCTCTGACTCTTTCATCTACTCTTAGGACCCTGCTCCTCCTGTGAGGTTGCCTCATGCAGCCTTGATATGAGTGTTTGTGCTTCATCCTAATGTGACATGTTATTCCATGTTCAGTTGATATCCCTATGAGGCCTGCTCTTTTCTGAAGGGAAATGGAGGAGGAGTGGATCTAGGAAGAGGGGAGGGAGGGGAAAACTTTGGTCAGGATATAACATATGAGGGAAGAATAAATTTTTAAAAAACGGTGAGAGATAAAGATGGGAAGTTAATGCCAGATCAGAGAGAATGTGATCTACTGATGAGCAAGAGGCTAATTAGCCGATTGTTTTACTGTGTAACTGAGCACGACTGAGAACGTGAAAACTATACCTCTTCTAAGGGCTGCGGTAGTGGTATGCTGTATCAAAAAAAAACATTCTTGGAGTGGGGATGATGAGCCCCCATCTATCACTGGGGATCTGTAGAAAGTTAATGGTCACTGAGGGAGGAAGAAACATTTTTTTCCTGTGGTAGAGTCACTGATAAAGTGCCCATGTTCCTGTAAATGACTCATGTTGCTAAAAGCAACAGTATGAAACTCATCAGGACACACACACACACACACACACGAACTGAAATAGAACAGTGACTGCTTGTGAAGAAAAGGAATCAATGTGAATGGAAGGGTGAGGGGGTAATGATGGGTGAATTCAATCATAGTACCTTATATACATGTCATAATGAAACCCATTGTTTATAATTAATATCTGCTGATAAAACCATTTTTAAATTCCTATGTATTGTATTGTAGTTGTAGTTCAGATGGTTATACTTGTCTAGGATGGATATGACCCTGGATTCCATACTCAGCACCACACACACACACACACACACACACATCTCTCTCTCTCTCTCTCTCTCTCTCTCTCTCTCTCTCTCTCTCTCTCTCTCTCTCTCTCTTCCAATTCCTACATAATAACAGAAGACTCATGTAGGGTAAAAAGGGCCAGTAAAAGAACACCCTGACCTTGGAGCCAAGAAAACACACCCTTCCCCTAACCAACTCTAGGATTAAAATCCAACAAACCCAGAGCATGAAAACCAACCAACCCCTGAGCACAAAACCAACCAATCCCTGAGCATGAAATTCAACCAATCTATAAACTTGTCCCAAGCTCAGGAATTGAGATCCTACCAATACCCATCCTGAAAATCTCCACCTTGGAAAGCTCTGCTCCTAAGAAAACCTATATATAAGTTCTGTATCTGTTATGATTGGGGCTGTCCCTTTTCCACCTCCCAATAAATCTCTTGGGTGAGGTTTGTTGTAACAGTTTTGTTTCCCTGAAGCAGAGCAGAGATGTACCAGCTCTTGCAGCCAGAACATTTCTGCAGTGAAACTCCCTTAGCAGAGCAGAACAGAGCAGAACAGAGCAGGAGCAGAGCAGAACTGTAACACAGTGGCTGGGGAAACTTTCCCTTGATGGAAGCAGAATTGTTACACTCTGGGGAAGCTGAGCAGGGCTGTAACATTTCTCTGGAGCAGAGTTGTGGCAACCCAGCTGGGGAAATCCTCCCCTGCTAAAGCAGAGTTGTTATACTTGCATTAGGGAAACCTTTCCAGGAGCAAGGATTGTAACATTTTGCTGGGGGAACTGTCCCCCACCAGAACAGAGTCTTACCACTTCTGTTGGGATATCTTTCCCTTCAGAGTTCCTTGGCTTCAGCTGCCAGAATACCTTTCTCTCCAGAGTTGTCACACTCACAGCTCATACTCTAGCCTGATAATCAGAAACAATAAAATTTCATATTAGCAAAAATGTTACTAGAATGGAGAAGAAATAGTGACAGGCATGAAGTGATCATAATTTAATTGATATGAGATAAAGGATCAGTGATACTATGACAATTCATTTACCTAAAGGGATTTTTCAAGTGAGTGTGTTACAGCTCTGGAGCTGCAAAGAGACAGCTCTAGGGGCTTGAACTACAATAGGATAGCTCTGGAGAGAAAGATATCCTGACTTGGAAAGTCAGGCCTGACTCATCAGGAAGTCAGATGATACCTGGAGCTGCAAAGGAACAGCTCTGGAGCTGCAAAGGGACAGTTCTGGAGGGAAAGGTATCCTGACTCATTGGGGAGTCAGGATATACCTGGTGCTGCAGTAGGACACTTAATGGTGGCTGGATAAGGTAACCTGACTTGTTAGGAAGTCAGGCTATACCTGAAGCTGGGGTGCAGTGGGGATGGTCTCCCTGCAGTATGTACCAATCCTGCTCCTCTTCTAGGGAGAGCCCTGAGTTCTGCTCTGTTCCCCTAAGAGAATGTCCCAGAAGAACTGTCCACTTCTGCTCTGTTCTGGCCCAAGATGTTATTTCTTCTATTTCACTCTGCTAAAGGCGAAGCCGCTACCAAAATGTAGCAATCTCCTCCAGCTCCAACAAAAAGTTACTTTTTCTGCTCAACTCCCAAGGAATTGTTTCTTCTGGTTTTTCTGCTCAGCTCCAAATAAGGGAACGTCTCAGCAAAGTTTCTTCTGGTTCATCAGTGAAAGAAGATCTTCACCCAAAACTCTTTTAAGAAAGATATTTATTTGAGAAGGAGGAGTCCAGAAGAGTGGCTGCCTCTGTTAGGGTGGGAAAGGACAGCCAGCAACTGAATAGGCAGAGGGGCTTATATAGGGAGTCTTGGGGGGTGGAATTTTTTTGGAGGAGGAGGTTAGTTTTCATGCTCAGGGATTGGTTAGTTTAGTTGGTCAGGCCCAAACTGTGTTGCTTTCCCCCCACCTCTCTCTCTCTCTCTCTCTCTCTCTCTCTCTCTCTCTCTCTCTCTCTCTCTCTCTCTCTCTCTCTCTCTCTCCCTCCCTCCCTCCCTCCCTCCCTCTCTCTCCCTCTCTCTCTCTCCCTCCCTCTCCCTCTCCCTCTCCCTCTCTCCCTCCCTCTCCCTCTCCCTCCCTCCCTCCCTCCCTCCCTCCCTCCCTCCCTCCCTCCCTCCCTCCCTCCCTCCCTCTCTCTCTCTCTCTCTCTCTCTCTCTCTCTCTCTCTCTCTCTCCCTCTCTCCTCTCTCTCTGTCTTTCTTGTTTTTTCCTTTTGGGGCCAGAACATATTTCTTTCACTGGCTCTGGTTCCAGGGCCAAACTGTGTTCCTTTAACTCTGGTTTCAGAGTCAGAGTGTGTTTCTTGGGTTCTGGGTTCAGGGCTAAAGTGCTTCTTTCACTGACTCAGGTTTCAGATCCAGGGTGGGTTTCTTTCACTAGCTCAGGGTCAGAGTGGGCCTCTTTGGCTGGCCCTTTTTCCTTACAGAGAGGACATGAGAAAGAGACCAAAGTTGGTGATTATCCTATACTGGTACCATCCTAGGTCAATTTGTTTGTCTGTTTTGTTTTTTTTTTTCCAGACAGGGTTTCTCTGTGTAACAGACCTGGCTGTCCTGGAACTCGTTCTATAGACCACAGAGATCCACCTGCCTCTGTCTCCAGAGTGCTGGGATTAAAGGCGTGCACCACCATAACAGGCTTTAACTCAAATTAACAGACTCTCTGATTAAGATAAATCTTTGGCCAATAGGGCAAGGCAGTCAGGATAGATAGAGATGTCAGTGACCTTTATGAGTTTTGGTTGTTTCATAAGTCTGGAGTGTAGCATGTTCATAAAGTATACAACCTCAGAGACAGACTCCAGAGCCTGTGAGAAGCCACCTTGAGCTCCGCCCTTTGATCCCTGGCTGCCATTGTGGGTGACATTCTAGAACAGTGATGTGGAAGTCACTTGAGAAAGAGCCAATGAGACAGATGAAGGTTGACTCCAGCAGGAAGGCAGTGGCAGCTCACACCCTGAAGTGGCCTGACCATTGAATCAGCCAGGGTCTCTGCGCCAATTCCCCACATGGAGTCTTGTTCAAGCTGTCCATACACTAATTTACAACAGATATGTGTACAAATCCCGGTGGAGGTGAGTGTCTTCCCTCCCTTCATGCTGTTTCTCTCACACAATGTACATTCACATTCTTCAAAAGAAAGATGAACCCTGAGACGATGGCACACAATACAGTAGGCCAAAGTAAGGCAACACTCGTTTTCCTCCAAATGACATAATTATCCTTGTGGCTGAATAAAAACTCCATTGAGTAAATATGCCACATTTTCTTCATTCATCTTGGTAACAGTCATGTGACTGAGGGGAGATGAAATCCCAATGTAGTTTTTATTTATATTTCCCTGCTAGCTAAGACTGTGTTTCTTACTTTGTTTTTATGTATTATTATAGTGTGTATGATGGAGAAGAGAGCTGTGCACATGCCTCTGGGCACATGTGGGGGTCAGAGACAGTTTTGTGGAGTCTTCCCTTGTCTACTTGGGATCAGACTTACATTTCCATCTTCAGCAGTAAGAGCATTACTTGCTGGGCCACCTCACCTGCCGTGCCTCTTGTCTTCTGTCCACCTCATGTGTCCCTTTATCGATTCTATGATTTTTACACAAAACACTAACTTTGATATTTTAAAAAGTTACTATTTTTACATTTACCTATTTGTTTGAGAGGAATAGTCTACATACCATGGCTCAGTGGGGAGGTAAGACAATTTGTGGGAGTCAGTTCTCTCCTTTCCATGAGCTTGGCTCAGCTGTCTCTGAAGATTTCTCCATCCCCTTGATCATATGTTCTCTCCTCCCTCTCTTCAACTGGATTCCTGGAGGTCAGCCTAGTTCTTGGATGTGGATCTCTGTCTATTTCCATCACTTATTGGATGAAGGCTCTATAATGATGGTTGGGGTATTCAACAATCTGATTACAGGGGTAGGCAGGTTCAGGCATCGTCTCCACTATTGCTAGGAGTCTTAGCTTGGGTCATCCTTGTAGATTCTTGGGAATTACCCTAGCACTAGCTTTCTCCCTAATTTAAAGGTCATATCTTTGAAATTTAAAAATTACACATGTGAGCTGAACAGTGGTGGTGCGAACCTGTAATCCCAGCATTCAGGAGTCAGAGGCAGGCGGATCTTTTTGAGTTCAAGGCCAGCCTGGTCTACAGAGCAAGCTCTTGAACAACCAAGGCTACACTGAGAAACCCTGTCTCAAAAAACAAACAAAAACTTACGTGTGTGTGTGTGTGTGTGTGTGTGTGTGCACATACCATTGTGTTTGTGTGTTGGTCAGAAAACAGCTTGTAGTGACCTGTTTAGAGTAACCTTTACTTGACTAATGAAGCTTTTTATTTTCTTTTTTGCATATTTATGTGTGTGAAATGTGTGCATGACTATGCAAGTTCACATGTGTGTACATCTGTGGATGTACACGTGAACAAAATAAGGAAATAATTGCAAAAGCTCAGTAAGAAAACCAACCCTTGCATTTATTTTTGTATTTCATTTGTATGATTGTTTGGGTACTCTTTGAATTGAAATTTTTGTAAATGAAAATTTGAATTCTTTGCATTTCAACCATTTTTGTATCTTTAGATTTGCTGACTGAGGAACTGACCTTTTCCAAGAGTCATATTGCCTTCTCATGTCTGGTCCTGTGTTGTAAGTTGCATGTCTGTTGGATATCTCTTTCAGTTTTGTTTTTGGGTCTTCTTGGTAGGCAGCCTTCTCTTGAGGGTTCAATCCTCAGTGCCATTCAGAGATGAGAAAGCAATGTTAATAGTAACAGCACCAAACCAAACTGGATATGGAAATACATTTTACATTAGTTAAAGCCAGTCTCTACCCTACCAATAGCCATGGGGCAGAAAAGAACAAACCATGGAGTTTCAGTAATATAGAATGAGCTATGAAGTTAAAAACTCATCATGGTAAAGGTAAAAATAGTACGTGAATGAAATAAATAGGCAAGGAAGGGGCAATGAGGAAGAAGCTGGACCAAACAAAAGAAGAGAAGAAATGAGCCAGGCATGATGACTCATGAGGTACTCCCAGCGTTCTGGAGACTAAGGCAGGAGGCTCTTCAAAAGTTAGATAGTTCCAGGCTCTGTCAGAGAAAGTCAGAGAGAGAGAGAGAGAGAGAGAGAGAGAGAGAGAGAGAGAGAGAGAGAGAGAGAGAGAGAGAAGAGAATATGGATGCTAGAGGAACCAAAAAGTAAGATTTTAAAAATCTGACTGTACAATAAAAATGTGGACCATCAAGATAGCTCAATGGATGAAGGTACCTGGGGCTATGTCTACCAATCTGAGGCTAACAACCTCTTCCTGTGTCCACACGATAGAAGGAAAGAACCAATTCCCACAAGTTGTTCTCTGGCGTCTACACAAGCACTGTGACACATATGTGGCCCCCCACTATAATTAATAAATAAAAGTAAACTTTTATGTATTGGTAGGATTTTTTGCATATTCATGTGTGTGTGTGTGTGTGTGTGTGTGTCTATAAAGTTTTTTCCTGTGTGAAGGTATCAGATCCGCTGGAACTGGAGTCACAGACAGTTGTGAGCTGCCATGTAGGTGCTAAGAATTGAGCCTGGGTCCTCTGAAAGAGCAGTTGGTGCTCTTAACCCCTGAGCCATCTCTCCAGCCCATCAAAATAATTGTTTAAAGAAGAAAAATTATGTAAGAGTCCCAGTGCTTGAGAGGCAGTGACAGCAGGGTCACCTCCAGGCCAGCTGAGAGATCCCAGGTGGAGCTTGTCTAGAACAACAAAGACAATCATAGGGAGAAAACAAATAAAACAAGAAATCCTTCTGGAAGTAAAAGTTACACTAAAAGTGGAGGCAAAGGAAAAGAGGGACACTAAGGGATAAAAAGAATCTGGAGTACCTTCTGTGTCCACAAACATCACAGCTGTAGGTGGGGGTGATGGGCGGATCTGTCGACATTAGGTCTCGTGGCTTTCCTACCATCCAGATACCGTTAGGCCTGGACCAATCAAGGGCCAGATGTCTGACAGATGCCTCCATCCTAGAGCTTCCTTTCTGTGCACAGCAGGATCCCCCCCCTCCCCCGTGGTCACACTTAGCTTTTCAACCTATAGAGCCGCCCGTTCCTTCCTCCCCAACCTGCATACCATGCGATGGCTAATGTCTACGCAAAGGAGGCGCTTTTGAGTGTGCTGGAGAACAGGGACCAAGCATCTGTACTGAAAGGCCTGTCACAATGCCTCCATATCTCACCCAACAGGGAGATAGCTATGCAAATCAAATGTTCTCCTGGACTTGAGCTTTGAAAGTCTCAGCATGCAGGCATTAACCATATGACAGGTGATTTTAGACAGTGTCACCTGCTAATCACAGGCAAGGACCTCTGAGTCTTAATGGTTATTGATTACCATAGTGATGGGATCTGGGCCTCCCACAGAGGGTGAGCCACTGACTCACCCTTAACTGCCAAAGATTCATGCCACCTGAACTTATGTCCAGGTATCAGCTGCTGTCTTGACTGTCTCACACCAGGGAACTATGGCAGGGTGCCCCCAGACTCCATGATTTGTAATTGCTTTTTTTTTTAAATCCCAAGAATGGTTCAGTATCAACCAATGGCACCTTTCTCAAGATAGTGCTTTGGTGTAGTTCTCGGGTTTGGAGGGGGGGTGCGAGCACGAGACAAAATGGATTTCTTAGTTTACTGTTGGCTTGCCACAGGAGTAGTTGTCACTGTAACATCGAATTCCCCACTGGATTTTTAAAAAAGGATTTCATTTACTTTTATGTATGTGAGGGATTTGCCTGTGTATATGCACATGTCTGAAGCCTAGGGAGAGCAGACCAGCACATCAGATCTTCTGAAACTGGAACAGAAACTGGAGCTACAAACAGCTGTGAGCTACCCAGTAGACCTGAGAACCAAATCTGGGCCCTGTCCAAGAGCAGCCAGTGCTCTTAGCCACTGAGCCATCTTCCTAGCCCCAGCCCCACTGGATTTAAGACACATAAAAGCTGCAGGCTTGCCCTGTGGTTAAACTACCGGTCTCTTTTCACCAGGGATGGCCGGCTTGCTGCTTGGATGTGATCTCTGCTTCTTCCCCACACCCTACTCTGCTGCAACAAGGAGATGGAGCCCCTGCTGAGCCGTTTATCCCTTCGTTGCCTCCATCCTGCCCTCTGTGCTGCTTTTCAGTATCTACTCAGCTGTGATTGCTTTCTTATTTTGTTTGTCTGTCTTTCTTCTTTCTGAGTCTGGCTTACATTTTTAAACAGTATATTTCTATTCATTTTTTGGCAGTTTCATATATTTAAGCAATATATTTTGATCATATCTACCCCCAAATTCTCCCTCCCATTCCTCCAATACACCCAAACATGTCCCCCATTCATGTTCCTCCATTATTCTGAGAAAAATGCTCATGCAGCAACATCTGATTTCTTTGTGGTCCTCCTTCCCAAACCCTGTGCTTTTTTCCTAAGCCAGTTGATGTCTGATTCCACTCCACGTCTCTTCCGTCGTTTAAACCATCAAATGGCATTCAACAGAAGAAATCAGCGACAGGAAGCAGCAGCAGTGTTTTGTCCTGCATGCCTGACCTTATCTATCTATTCCAGCCAAGGATCGAGGGTTTGATACACTGATGTTCACAGGGTTTCGTGGTGCACAGCTCTAATCCCAGAACTTGGGAGGCTAAGGTAGGAAGATCATGGTTTTGAGGCCAGCCTGAACTGCCTAGCAAGACTATCTAGGAAAACATTAAAAAGAAAAAACGAGGGACTCACATCGTGGCCCTGGAGACTAGAAGGAGGACTCCAGATCCGGCTTGGCACTTGCCCTCGCTTTGCCATGGAGAAGACCGAGCTGATCCAGAAGGCCAAGGTGGCTGAGGAGGCAGAGCATTACAATGACTTGAAAGCCTTGACAGAGCAGGGTGCCAAGCTGTCCAATGAGGAGTGCAACCTGCTGTCGGTGGCCTACAAGAACATGGTCTGAGACCGCAGGTCCGCCTGGAGGGTCATCTCAAGCATCGAGCAGAAGACCGACACCTCTGACAAGAAGTTGCAGCTGATCAAGGATTATCAGGAGAAAGTGGAGTCGGAGCTGAGGTCCATCTCTACTACAGTCCTGGAATTGCTGAATAAGTATTTAACAGCCAATGCAATTAATCCAGAGAGTAAGGTCTTCTATCTGAAGATGAAGGGAGATTATTTCTGGTATTTTGCTGAAGTAGCATGTGGTGGCATCGAAAACAAACGATAGATAATTCCCAAGGAGCCTACCAAGAGGCATTTGATACAAGCAAGAAAGAGATGCAACTTACACATCCAGTCCACCTGGGGCTGGCTCTTAACTTTTCTGTATTTTACTATGAGATCCTTAATAATCCCAAGCTTGCCTGCACACTGGCCAAAACGGCTTTTGATGAGGCCATTGCGGAGCTTGCTACACTGAAACAAGATTCCTACAAAGACAGCCACCCTCATCATGCAGTTGCTTAGAGACAACTTAACATTGTGGACATCAGACAGTGCAGAAGAATGTGATGCAGCAGAGGGGACCAAAAACTAAAGGCATCCAGGGTGCTGTCCTCCATCCCCTCAAGAAAACCTTTTTACATCTCCATTCCTTATTCCACTTGGATTTCCTCTGGCAAGGAAGCCCATCCATGTATATGGGAGCACCTGTTTATTGTCTTTTCACACTGCAGCTTTGGGAAACTCCATCCCTTGGTTTGTGTTGTCTCGGCCTTCCTGGTGTGCAGTTACTGCTGTAGAAAGGTGTCAACAGCTTCACTTCATACAAACATGAGTAACTTTTAGACACTTGTGTAGAGGACTGACAGTGCCTTTGGTATTTAAGTAATCTGAACCAGTTCTGCAAGTGGCTGTGTTTTGTATTACTGTGAAGATATGGAAATGTAGTACATCACAATGTAAAGTAATTGTAATAATAACTTCCTGATTTCTGCATTCCCTCTCTGACCCTTCTTTGGGGGTTTCCTTTCAGAAGCAACTTTTCCACACTCGTACTGCATATTCCTTATTAGCAGGAATCCAGAAGTGTTAGATTGAACGGGAAAGCTTTCAATGCATCCGGTCTTGGTGTCACAGATCAAAATGCCTCCTATGTCACATGTTCTGGAGGTTACGTCTGTCAGTGACAACAGAGAATTTCCTTTATGCATTCTTCATTTGCTGCTGTTTAAGTTGACAACTTCCTTCCCAATAAAAATTCACTTACACCTCCTGCCTTCATAGCTCTGGTATTCACTTTACCTTGTAATCGAAGTAGCATGTTGCTGCCAGAAAACAAGCATTGCTTTGGGCAAATTAAAATGCATGTCCTTTCTTGATACACTAGAAAGGGGAAATAAAGTACACAAGTCCAGGTCTAAACTTCAGTACTTTTCCATGCAGATTGTACACATGTGAGAGGGTGTCCAGTTTGTCCAGTGATTGTTAAAGAGAGGGACCCACTATATTGTGTTTGCTAATCATGGACTGTAGTCCCCAAAAGCCTTGTGAAAATGTTATACCCTATGTACCAGCAGAGTAACATAAAATAAAACTACATTTTATAAAACAAAACAAAAAAGAAAGAAAAAAAGACCATGAAGCCATGTGCATGCTCACACCTGTAATCTCAGCATGTGGGGGGCTCCCACAGGAGGATTGTCGTGAGTAGATAAATTTATCTATTTATTTGAGGAGCACACAGCACACGTGTAGAAACCAGGGAATATCTTGAAGTAGTTGCTTCTTCCACCATGTGAGGTCTGGGGATCAAAATCAAGTTATCAGGCTTGGTAGCAAGTGCTGAGCCATCTCACTGGCCCACATTGTGGAGATATCCATAACCAATCAGCTTGACTGTTTCTTGTGTCCCTCTGCAAAGATGCAGTTCACTGTTGAGGCAGTTGTGTTGGAAGCCCTTCATGGTTTTTGTTTTGTTTTCAGATAGGTTCTCTAATGCAAGGCTAACGTTGATTCTCCTGCCTTCGGCTCCTGGGTTCTGTCATTAAAGGCATTCACCACTAAACACAGTGGGGTTTGCATTTTAAATCTCATCCTACCTAGTGTGAGACTGGCAGGTGCAGACCTCAGCAATCTCATCGACTCATTAGCTAATCAGATTGTTTATGTAGGGAAATGTAAAAGTTGGAGAGGACTAGGATAAACCTCAATATTCTGCCCCTCCCTTTCCCTCCATCATTCTCTGTGCCACAGGCGTTCCCAGCTCTACCAACTGCAAACCTTTCTGGCTTGACTCAGTTCCCTGAGCTGAGCTCTACTCTGACTGCTTCTCAACTTAGTTTTGCTTTGGTTCATGTCTAGTGGAATATATCTGACAAACTGCCCAGCACACCTTAAACCAGGAGCAGTCCAGGATGTCTTAAGAGCACACACAGCGAGGAACAGGAGTTCGAGTAGTGGCAGGTCACCTTGAAGCTACCAAGGTTACTCCTGTTTCAGGAGCAGCACCAAGTCACAGATGTGGTCTCTCAGTCCCAAACACAAATTCCTAGGGAAAGATGCTGACACAACATGACCAGATGCTTTCCTACCTCTAGGAAGTCATGGCACAAAGATTTCATTCTACAAATTTATTCTATGAACATGACAGCCAAGAGCTACTCTTGTAAGGGTCAGATGATGTAGGGCACATGCAAGAAAGGAGAGAGATTCTAGGTAGATACACCTTTCAGAGTCTATTTGAGAGGTTTTGGATGGAGTGTGGGGCTCAAGAGGACACTGAAGGTTGGAGAGATGACTCAATGGTTAAGAACACTTACTGTTCTTGCAGAGGACCAGCCTTTGGTTCCCAGCACCCACATGACAGCTCACAACTTCCTATAACTTCAATTCCTTCTTCTGGCCTCTAGAACACCTGGCACACATATTGAGCACATACAACATACACATCCACATCCACACAAAATAAATAAATCTTTAGTCCAGTTGTGGCGATTCACATCTTTAATTCCAGCAACCACTCAGGAGGCAGAGGCAGGTGGATCTCTGTGCATTCCAAGCTAGCCTGGTCTACATAGTATGTTTTAGGCACATCAGGAGCATACCCTGTCTAAAGCATAAAAAGGACACTGAGACATATTACTGTTAAATAGAAGAGTTATTGATGACATACACCAACAGGCAAGAGTATAATAGGGGTATTTCTGGAGAAAGAAATCAGAGTCCATGTGGCAAAAGAGGGATCTTACACTCTCTTGGGGGGGCAAAGATCACAACAAGAGCCTTCAGGTAGATAGGCTCTCTGATTGCCAAGCAAGAAGCATGGAAGGGAGTGGGCAACTGGATGTGTGTGCAATGTCAATGCCCCCTTTGGTGTTAACTCACTCCCCAGGTGTGAGATCCTGAGGCTGGGATATCTGTTAGCTAAGGACTCACAGTATCCCATTATGGTACCTGCCTGCATCTGTGAAAGGAGGAAGACCCTGCACCAGCAGCAGCTAGACTCTGACTTTTCTCCCAGGAAGAACTTGATGTTGCTGTTTTCTTAACTGTGCTCCCATCCAACAGCCAATTGCAAGTATATTCTCAACAGATATTCCCTGGACTCATAAGTGAGCTTTCCAGATGAAAAGTGAATCTTTTTCTATGTATTGGTTTTTTATTGTCTAGACAGAAGAATTAGAAAGCAGGAATACTAGGTATAACAGCATCTATCTGGTGCTTACAGTTCACAAAGCCTTTCTAAGACCTTCCATTGTCTTCTTACAGGAATATGACATAGAGACACTCCATGGTATAGTTCACGTCACCATGAGGGGATCACTGAAGGGAAGTAGACCGGTTATCCTGACATACCATGACGTTGGGCTTAACCGTATGTATTGGATTTTGCACATCCCCCGTTTAAAGAAAGTAGTTTTATTTAATGTGTATGAGTGTTTGCCTGTGTGTATATATGTGCACTGTGTACACTGTGGAGACCACAAGAGGATGTTGGATCCCCAGAACTGTAGTTACAGGTGATTTTTAAGCCATCATACAGATGCTGGAATTGAACCTAAGTCCTATGAAAGAGTAGTAAGTGCTCCTAACCACTGAGCCATCTCTTCAGCCCCACACAGGCTCCCTTTTAAGCATGTATAATCTTTCTGTTAAAAATACAATAATAGAATTCTAGTAAGATACGTCACTTCTCTGTCTTAACACCCTTTTTTAAATTAATGGCAGGTTAACATTCCTGAGGTATGAGCAAGGCCAAGTACATTGGGGTAACTAAAATTACATTTTACATTTGTGTCATGTCTTCAAAAGGATAAATTATCTGATAAATTCAGGACGAAATTAGAAATGAGCCAGGCAGTGGGAGCAGCAACCGCCTTTAATCCCAGTACTTGGGAGGCAGAGGCAGGTGGATTTCTGTGAGTTTGAGGCCAGTCTTATCTACAGAGCTAGTTCCAGGACAGCCAGAGCTACACAAAGAAACACTGTCTTGAAAAACCAAAACAATAATACTTCTGACTGTGTGTATTAGGTAATATGTAAAACTAAATCTATTTCATGCTAATCTTTAGGTCAATTCCCCAGGATGTCTCATTACATATATACAAATATTTCCAAAGCTGAAATCCATACCGAATCTACTAGCAAGCATTTCAGAACTGGCTACTCAACAAACACTGTAGAATCAGACTCTAGCCATGGGGTCAGACTCTGCAAGCCTGTGTCCTTCCTGCTGCTCTGGCTTCCAGAGTGTTGATCCTTATCATGAGGAGTGATGAAGGTCCTACACTAAGAGGGTAAAAATGAAGCACATAGCAGTTCTGACAAGAGACAAAGCCCCGCATGGTGAGCAGCTGCTCACATGTCCTCTAGCCAGGCTTAGGGGGAGATCAGTGTGTCCTTGTCAGACAGAGGAACAAGGAGCATGGAAGACAGCATTGTGGGTAGAAGATTATTTTGTGCACCACCAGGAAACGCAGCAACATCCACAAGGTGGTTCCTACTCTGAACCCACTGTGTAGAGTTGAGAACCAGTTGCCCTCCAGGCCCTGAGGCGCCTCCGATGGAGTCTTCCTTCAGCAGACTGAGTGACAGGCTTTGTGCAGACACCTCACTTAAGTGGACGCTGCTGAGAAGGGAGTGGAGGAGCAGTGGCACAGCATTGCTGGGCAGAGGAAAACAGGGGAGAGCCACAGGTGTTCTTATCTCATAGATAAATCCTGTTTCAACACGTTCTTCAACTTCGAGGACATGCAGGAGATCACTCAGCACTTTGCGGTCTGTCACGTGGACGCCCCAGGCCAGCAAGAAGGGGCACCCTCCTTCCCAACAGGGTAAGGCCACAGGGACGATCTCTGGGAGGCAAGCAGGCAGAGAAACAAATGGGTGGGTGGACAGTAGGGGCCCTGTGGTGTGTTTCCCTCCCTCTGATGGTATCACACTTAGGTGCTGCTTGCCTGTCTTTCTGCCCTTGGTCTCAGAAGCCTGTGTGTAAGTGCGTGGAGGGCCGGTGTGTGTTTTCACATACCCAGGAATGCCTCTTCGTGACCAGCACCTATGCACCTATAGTCACAAGGCAGAATGTGTCTGGAACACCACTTCTCACAGACTCTGGTCTGTCCCCTGACTCCTTTGTTTTACATTTGTCACTTGTGTGTCTCTTCCTCAAGTGCCAAACACATAGACTGAACCCAGACTCCTTTGAACTTGCTCTGGGAGTGCCTTCCCATTTGAGTTCCCACCGAGATGGCTTTTGGACACCTGGGAACCATTTATTCTGAAGCCATCTTGACAGGCAAGGGCACCATCTGGCTGGCCTTGCATTCAACATCATCCTAGACTTGCTCTGCACACCAGCGTCACAGACTCCCAAGTGTCCCCTGGACAGGGTGCCAATCAGAGGCTCTGAGGGACAAAGGAGACCTTCCCGTCTTGTCCTGCATTTCCCAGGGACTTCTAGAGAATAAACATTCCAAAGATAAGGGAGAGTCTACACCTGCATAGAACCCAGGCTCTTCCAGAAACTGTTTAAATGCTTTTGTTTTTAGCTCACTTGATCCACACACCCCTATAGGGTCTGTGTCAGTGTACAAATGAGTAGCTGAGCTAGGATTTCAACCCAAGAAGTCTTGTTACAGAATCTTAGTTGACTCTCTCCAAGCTGTTGTGTCTCTGAAATACAGGTTGTCGTTCACCCAGGTGATATCCATCAATATTTTTCCTGATTTGAGCGTAAATAGTTTTGAGAATACTCTATCTCTTATAGTGTCTACCAGATGCAGTCTGAGCTCCCTGTTGGTAATAGAGCAAATCGTCTCCCCTTATATATGAGGCCATTTACTATATACACATACACACACTTCCTCTAGTTTAATGTAATATATATAATGTATATAATCTTGAAATATCCTGTCCCTCTTTGACTCTATCATCTCTGTGATGTTCTCTTTACTTTTTCTCTGGGTGAGCTCCTGGGCTTGTCTGGCCATTTTAGAATCAGTTCATATTATAGTTAAGCAGTTCATAAAAGAAACATTATCCTACACCTAAGTGAATAAATGATAAATATTCTGAGAAGCCCAAGTGTTATAATGGTGCATTGACCCAGGAAAGTGAGGTATCCTGCTGCCGTTAACTGCCTAAATATGATTGGCAGACTGTGAGCTGCTTCCTGAGTTGACTCTTGATGCTGGACATTCCTGAGCTGAAGTGAATGTTGGAAACAGCACATAGTGGGCCATCAAACCAGTTCTCTTCCTCTAGCTTCCTCTGATATAAGGAATGTGGCCCATTAATTGTCTTCTTCACATGGCAGTCATGGAGGGTTATGGAGCAAGGCCACAGTCATGTCTAGGCACCACATCACATCCTTTGAGCCTTTGAAAAAAAAACAAAAACAAAAACAAAACAGTCTTACAGAGTGTTCCTGTAAGACTCCTGGACTGGTCAAGGTCTCCCAGTGACTGGGCACTGTGGGGGCTTTCTAGTCAGAAGGTGTCCTTCTGGGTTTCAGGTATCAGTACCCCACCATGGATGAGCTAGCTGAAATGCTGCCTCGCATTCTTACACACTTTAGGTGAGTACAAACCACAGTCTTCTGTTTGGTCCACTCCTGTTGTAAATCAACCCCAGGCTCCACTCCTTATCAACAGATGCTCTGCCACCGAGCTACCCATTCCCTCCACTTTGCTCTTTTGTTTTCACAATTCCTTTTGTGTCTGTCCCTGCAACTATAATTAGTGAGCAAAACAGAAAAGTCACCATTGACCTTAGTTAGGAGAGTAACTGCTTGATAAACAATCACAATAAAATGCCTTAGACAACCTGGGCGCTGATGGCGCTCGCCTTTAATCCCAGCACTTGGGAGGCAGAGGCAGGAGGATCTCTGTGAGTTCTAGACCAGCCTAGTTCTAGTTCAAGGACAGCCTCCAAAGCCACAAAGAAACCCTGTCTGGAAAAAAATGCCTTAGACAAAGTGGGACTGGGCTGTAGCTTGGTGATTGAGCATGTGTTTAGCAAGCACATCTCTGAGCTTGATCCTGAGAACCTTCAACACAAAGAAATCCTGGGATGGACTAGAGTGGGTGGTAACTGATGGTGACATTCACAGATTGACAGAATTTGCTGATGGATTTTGAGATAGTGGGACAATGAAGGTGAATTCCAGATTTCAGGCATGTTTCATTTAACCATAAAGGCAAATTTTAAAGTAGGTAGTATGCCTGCCGGGAAGCATAGCCCTGAGGTCCTAGGTTTGATCTTCAGTGGGTACGGTTGTGAAAGAGAAAAGGAAAAGAAAGGAGAGGGAGGAGAGAGAAAGGGGGGGCAAGGTCTTTGTCAAATAAGAAGGGCACTGAAGCTTGAGATTTCAGACAAGAAGCTACCTAAGTTCTCACAGCTACTAAGTGTCAGAGCCTAGCTATGTGCCCGGTTTGTATTCCTTCCCTTATACAATGCTTCCACAGAAGTAAGACACTGTTAATTGTCCTCTGCCTTGTTCAGTTTGAAGAGCATCATTGGTATTGGCGTTGGAGCAGGAGCCTACATCCTCAGCCGGTTTGCAGTAAGTCCCTGAGGCAGTGTGTGGGTCCCAGCTGGGTGCCTGCTTGTGTTGGTTTTGTAAGTTCCAGCTGCTCCAGCCACATGTGTGTGCAAAGATTTGCTCTGAGTGTAGAGGACCTGAAAATCCGCAAATGAGGACAGAACATTGTAAAGAGACACAGATGCAACTTCTGGGGGGATTGTTACAGCCATGAAAAATGAGCTGACACCATAACGTGTCAAAACAGTGGTCTGCTGTTATGAAATTCCTCCTGGATCACAGGAAAGTGGTTTTTGGGGGTGCCATTGCCTATTCAGATGGCTTCAGGGAAAAAAATTCAAGAGCCCATGTTGTAGCCCAGCAACCCACATAAGCCCCCATGCCAAGTGTCTTAGCACACTTGTCCATAAGGAAGTCCCCTGTGAGTTGAACAACTGCAGCATGGTCTCCTCTGCTGTAGCAACAAAAACCTTGTCTTCCCTAAGCAGACATGCAAGGGGAGACGGCTTGATAGCATTCTGAGAGACTGGTTTCCAGGTGCTGGGTCAGATTTCAAGAGGTTTTGTCTGAAGTGCTCCAGAGCCCCTCTCTGCAGTCTTCCTTCCAGACAGGAGGCAGTGAGGCACAGCACAAACCCATGTCCACGCCCACTGCTTTAAGAGTGGGAGTGGGAGTCTCACTGCTGTCTCTGTCTCTCTCAGCTCAATCATCCTGAACTGGTAGAAGGTCTTGTGCTCATTAACATTGACCCGTGTGCTAAAGGCTGGATTGACTGGGCAGCTTCCAAAGTAAGTACTAGGTGATGGTGACCATTTGTCCATTTTCTGGTCCTCCTCCTCATTCTCCTCTTCCTCTTCCTCCTCTTCTCTTTATTCCCCTCCTCGTCTTCCTCCCTCACCTGGTGGTGGTACTAGGACTAAACCCACATATTCATGCATACTAGGGTTCCATTTCTTCACTGAACTTACACCCACAGTTCTCATTTTACTTTTTACTTTGAGACAGGATCTCACTAAATTGCTCAGGCTATCCATGATCTTGTGACCCTTCAGTCTCCTAAGGCCCAGGTCATTAAACTAGACTTCTCAAGTTCCTTCATAAAAATAAGTTGGCTTTTTAAAAACTTTTTGTAAAGTTTATTTTATTTTATGTATATGGGTGTTTTGCCTGCATATCTGTGCACTATGTGTGTGCAACTCCCACAGAGGCCAAAAATGGTCGTTGAGTCCCCTGGAACTAGACTTACAGGCAGGTGTGAGCCAACATGTGGGTGCCGGGAACTGAACCTGGGTCCTCTGGAAGAGCAGCCAGTTCTCTTAACCACTGAAGCCATCTTTCCAGCCGCCAGCCTTTCCCAAATACACTGTTAGAAATGTCTCTTAACCATCATCATGTATCTCTTCTTTAAAAATGTTCTGCATATAAGTCCTTTGCTAGATACATGTGTTACTTGGATTTGTGTACCTGGGACCAAATTACCCAAGAGAACAGCAGAGGAAAATTTTTTCGGACTCCCAGTCTCAGATATCTGAATCTGCAGAGAGGGATAGCAGAACAGAGCAGGTGACATCTAGGCCCAAAAGAAGGGGCAGTATGGCCAGGAAGCAGCACAGGTCATAGTCCTGAAGTGCACTCTCCACACACAGACACAGACACACACACAGACACAGACACACACACACACACACACACACGGCACAGTCCTGAAGTGCACTCTACACACACACACACACACACACACACACACACACGGCACAGTCCTGAAGTGCACTCTACACACACACACACACACACACACACACACACACACACACACGGCACAGTCCTGAAGTGCACTCCACACACACACATACACACAGGGCACAGTCCTGAGGTGCACTCTACACACACACACACACACACACACACACACACACACACACACACACACGGCACAGTCCTGAAGTGCACTCTACACACACACACACACACACACACACACACACACGGCACAGTCCTGAAGTGCACTCCACACACACACATACACACAGGGCACAGTCCTGAGGTGCACTCTACACACACACACACACACACACACACACACACACACGGCACAGTCCTGAAGTGCACTCTACACACACACACACACACACACACACACACACACACACACACACGGCACAGTCCTGAAGTGCACTCCACACACACACATACACACAGGGCACAGTCCTGAAGTGCACTCCACACACACACATACACACAGGGCACAGTCCTGAAGTGCACTCTCCACACACACACACACACATACACATAGGGCACAGTCCTGAAGTGCACTCCCCCCACACACACACATACACATACACACACAGGGCACAGTCCTGAAGTGCACTCTCCACCCCCACTCCCCACCCCCCATGACCTAGTTTCTCTCTCTACTTTGTATTGTCTTCTAATAATACCAGGGCATTATGAGTCCAAGAAACTAATCCGTTCACCAGGCCAGAACCCTAGAACCAGTTGTTTGGGAAAGTCCATCAAATATATACTGAAACAAGTGATTTGGTGATTGCCTAAGCATCTCTCTTTTTACTGTTTGTTGTTTTATGTATTCATTTTTAGTGAATGGATTCTTTGTTTTTGGTAGTTTTAGACAGGATCTTACTCTGTAACCCAGGATATCATCAAACTCATGGCACTCCTCCTGCCTCAGCCTGCCAAGTGCTGGGATTGCAGGCATGAGTCGTCTTACCCACTTTCGTGTTGCTTTGTTTTGAGATGGGGCATCATATATGCCAGGCTGGCTTTGAACTCCCTAAAGTAGCTGAGGATGCTCTCGAGCCTCTGATTCTCCTGCCTTCAGCTCCTAAATTCTGGCATCACAGGTGTGTGCTACCAGCCGCAGCCCTAAAACAATTGGTGTGTGGGGGGGTGTGTGTGTAGGTCAGAGGACAACTTTAGGAAGTCAGGTTTACCTTCATCTTTGCTTGTTTATATTGTTTCTGCTGCTGTGAAACTTTTACAGGGTTCCATGGATTCTGGGATTAACTCAGGTCATCAGGTTTAAGCAGCTAACACTTTGATCCACTGAGCCGGATCCTGGCACAAATGCTAGGCAAATGATTTTATTATTGTTGTTGTGAGTTTTGTGTGTACATAAGTATGGGTACAAGTGTCCCTTGATGCACCTGTAGAGGTCACAAAACAACTTATACAAGTTGATTTTCTCTACCACCGTGTGGGTTCCAGGGATTGAACTCAGGTCCTCAGGCTTGGCAGGAAGTGCCTTTGCTAAAGCCATCTCTCATTACTCTTACTCTAGGTATCTGTGTTGGTTGTTTTGAAACAGGGCATCATTACATGTCCCTGGCTCATCTGAAACTGTTAAACAAAGCAGTATGGTCTTGAAATTGAAACAAATCTCCTGTCTCTGCCCTCAGAGTGCTAGAAGCACAGGTATCAGCACCATGCCTGGTTTCCTGGGCATTCCTTAGTACAGTCGAGCTGGCAAATAGAATTCACAATTGAAATATGTGAGCTTCATCAGGACAGCCAGAGCTAAACAGACAAACATTGTCAATAAATAAATAAATAAAAGATTGCACTTAATGCCAGCAATAGCGGTGCACGCCTTTAATCCCAGTTCTTTGGGAGGGAGAGGTAGGTGAATCTCTGTGAGTTGTAGGCCAGCCTGGTCTACAGAGTGAGCTCCAGGACAAGCTACACAGAGGAACCTTAATTTGTACCTTAAATATCTTCTGTCTGTGGATTTCAGTTTTCCTTTCTTGATAAACAAAATGAATGAATGAATCACTATCTTGAATAAGATTGTTGATGTTTGCTATCTGAAAAAAGGAAGAAATTTAATTAACCCTTAAGCTATGTCAAAGAGAGAGGAAGTTGAAAGAACATGCTGTTGACTTTATTAATATAAACAATCATGAGCTAAATGAGTTAAAAAAAATAAAAAAGACAAGGGACCAGGGAGATGGCTCAGTAGGTACTGACACTTGCCTCCAAGGCTGATGGCCTGAACTCAATCCCTGGGACCCTTATGGTAGAAGAGAACGGGCTCTCAAAAGCCGTCCTCTGGCCTCTGCATGCAGTGTGGCACATGCCCACACAATTATGTAATAAAAGTAAATAATTTCAAAGGTGGGTACTGAAGAGATAGTTCCGTGGTTAAGGGTGCTTTCAGCTCTTGCTGACGACCTATTTGATACCCAGCTCCAACATGAGAAGGCTCAGAACCACCTGCAACCCCAGTTCCAGGGGATTTGATGCCCTCTTCTGGACGCTGAGGGCACCTGCACTCATGTGCGTAAATCCACACAAACATGAATATACACTTAATTAAAAAATAACAAAAAGTTTACCCTTAGGGGCTAGAAAGAGGGCTCAGTGGTTAAGAGCATTTTAATTGCTTTTCTAGAGGACCCAGGTTCAGTTCCCAGCACCCACACGGCAGCTCTCAACTGCCAGAGGCACTGATGCCCTTCTTGTGACCTCCGTGGGCACTAGGCATGAACATGTGGTACATGTATATACATGCAGACAAAACACCCATACAGATAAAATAAAATAAATAAACCTAAAACTTTATTTTAGTGTTTCAAGACAGAGTTTCTCTGCGTAGCTCTGGTTGTCCTGGAACTCACTCTGTATAGACCAGGCTGGCCTCCAACTCACAGAGATCTGCCTAGCTCTGCCTCCAAAGTGCTGGTTTTAAAGGTGTGTGCCACTACTGCCCAGCCTAAAATATCTTAAATAAATCTTTTTTAAAAATGGAGACAGAAGGGAAATGTATTGTATCATATTATCCTATCTGCATGGATCTCACCTCTTCTGAAAATGATTCTTTGTTTCTAGGTTGAAAAGGAGCAGTTTTGAGACATTTTCTTGCTAACCCATAAGTATTATTTTAATGTACACTGTGTCCATGTGCATGTGGGGCTAAGATTGGTGCTGGGAACCTCTATCACTGCCTCACTTTATCCACTGAGGCAGGGTCGCTCAATCAAACTCAGAACTCACTGATCAGCTTGCACTGGGGGACCCTGTTTCTGCCTTTTGAAGCTGGGATTACAAATGGGTTACAACACTCTCCCAGTATTTGTATGGGTTTCTGGGTGTCTGAACTACTATAGTACTTACACTTGTGTAGCAAGCATTTTAAGCATGTGTCATTTCCACAGTCCTGATGATCATTTTTATATTTATTTAATTATATCCATTATTGTTATTATTATTATTATTATTAGTGTGTGTGTGTGTACCCATGCCCTGTGCCATATCAGGTTTCTGGCTATCAGAAAACTAACCTCTGCATTTGATTGCCTTTGTCCACCATGCTGGGCCTAGGATCCTCAGGCTTGGCAACAAAAGCATTTACTGGCTAAGCCACCCCAGCAACCCAAGTATTTTTTAGGAGAAAATTTGATACCTATATAGTGTTTTTTGAGTACCAGGCACTGTTCTTTAAAGATGTATGTATGTATGTGTATATACATTATATATATATATGTATATAAACTTATATATAAACTTCTTGTTCTCAAAATAACCCAGAGACATAGCATGTTAATCATATAGAGATATGTCATTTGCCTAAGCACAAAGGCCCAGGACTCAATATAGTCATCAAAGCATTAGTTGTCAGTCAAATGGATGGAAAAAGACTCTAAAGTACCAATAATAAAGTGACAAGTTTTGTTTTTTCTTGTATTTATTTATTTTTTTGATTTTTTGAGTCAGAGTTTCTCTGTATAGCTTTGTAGACCAGGCTAGCCTGGAGCTCACAGAGATCCTCCTGCCTCTGCCTCCCAAGTGCTGGGACTAAAGGCGTGCATTACCACCACCCAGCTAACAAAATTTTTATACAATGGTGAAATATATGATAAAATTTTGTCACTTGAGGAAAGGATGGTGATAGCTATATAAACTCAGCCTTTGTAAGGAGGAAGAATTGAGACCAGAAATTCAGTCTGGGATGCACAAACAGACCATATTCCAAATTTTTAAAAATTGTAATTTGTCTATTAAAGGAGACTAGAAAATTCTCACATTAAGTCAAAACGGACATACAATATGATCTTAATTTTGTTACATACATATGCATACATAAGAAAAGGTACCAAAAATAAAACAAAAAAGCCGGTCAGTGGTGGTGCATGCCTTTAATCCCATCACTCAGAGGGCAGAGGCAGGCGATTTTCTGTGAGTTCAAGATCAGCTGGGTCTACAAGAGCTAGTTACAGAACAGGCTCCAAAGCCACAGAGAAACCTTGTCTCGAAAAACAAGAACAAAACAAAACAACAAAAAGAAATGGGCTGGATAATGGTAGCACACACCTTTAATCCCAGCTCTCTGGAGGCACAGGCAGGCAGATTGATAGATGTGAGTTTCAGGCTAGCCTGGTATATTTTTCAAATTCCAGGTAAATGAGACCCTGCATATATTTCCTACCTATCAGCAGACCAGATTCTAGACAGTTTGTCTGTCCCTCCCCACATTCATTTACAATTTGAGAAGTATTGCCTTCCCTAGCTTTGGATGGAGATGGTGCCAACTGCTGTGGAATTCTCTCTCAGTCTGACTGGTCTGAAATGTGCTCACCCGTCTAGCATACCACCCCCACACTTACATGTGTGACAACCTAGTGACATTTATAGAACACTTTGGGTCTCTGAGCGTTATGAATAGTGCAACACATGAAGTGAGTAACTAATCCTCCTCCTCTTTCATCTATAGGCATGGCTCACTGACAGCCCACAGGTGATTTCAGGCCATCTTTCTTTCTTAATCTTTGACCCATGTCCACGTCTCTCCCTCACCTCCAACTCAGTACTTCACCTCCTAACCAAGTCCTCAGTAGGAATTCCATCCCAAGCCAGGAAGAAAGCTGAAAGGGGAATTGGCAAGATCATTTGAGCAGGAGATGTGTCTGAAAATAGACTGTCTCCAGATTTACACAGATTGCTGTGTTTATTAGATATGAGATGCATCATTTTGAAATGGGAAGGATTGGGAGAAAAATGTTCAAAATGTGAGGACATTCTGTAAATATAGCTATTCCTCCCACTGCCTGAAATAAAGGTGGCTAAAACTGGAAGGAATTTTTTCTTGGTCTCTTGCATGTCTTGGGCAGGGTTGTAAATCGGCCTCTACCTGCCATCAGCCCAGTGTAGATGCAGAAATGGGGACAGGAAGGAAGCAGCAGACTGCCAGAGTGTCAGGTCTCACGGTTTCAAAGGAATGGCCAGTCTTCCTTCCAGCCCTATTTCAAAGCAAGCTCTGCTCAGACCATGCAAAGAAAGAACTCTTAGTGTTTCCTTATATTTTTGCCCTTTCCACATTTCTTTAAATGATATGGATCTGTGTGTTTGATTTGTTTTTGAAAGATAATATGTGTAAAGTACACCTTCCTTTAGTGGACAGCCTGTGAAATGCTCACTCTCCTAACACAGTTTTTATCTTCTAGCTCTCAGGCTTGACGACCAACATTGTGGACATAATTTTGGCTCATCACTTTGGGCAGGTAAGCACCTGTGCAAGCTGAAGAGCTGAGTTCACTGTCTTTGTTGTGCTTTAGGAAAGAAAGAGGTACCTTGCAGTCTGCTGCATCCTGACAGATAACATGTCCCATGCAGTCAGAAGGGCATATGGCCTGCAAAGCCAGGCCTGTGGGAGAGGCTTCTTTTAGCCTCAGGCATCTTGGCACTTGGAGAGTAACAGAAAACAGCATCTCCCCCACCTGTCCCCTGTGAGCAGAGTGCCATCTGTGAATGTTTGACAACACCAGTGCCTCACCAGACATCTTTAGAGCCATCAGGAGGTTCAGGGAAGGCTTCGCAGAAATGCAAACTTCAGAAGAAGAAGGAAAAGGCAGAGAATGCTAAAATGTCATTGTGAGAGGAGCCTAGAGATGATCTTATTCAGCCCCCGTGGACTGATGGACACTGAAATCCACAGCGGGGTGCCAGTTGTCCTGTGGATAATTGTTGGTGGGGATTTGCCTCCAGTCCTGTTTTCAAAGGGAAAAGTGAGTGAAGTGATGATGGAGAAACTGAGCTGTGAGTGGCTGGAGTGTGGAGGGACAGTTCCAGGGGGTGGATAAAAGCTGGTTAGTCTGCATACTTAATGTTCTAAATACACCTAAAGGAAAATGGAAGGTTGGGAAAGATCAGGCTGTTACCCCCTACTGATTATGTATGTGCTAAGTACTTTAAAAGCTGCCTTAGGTGGCTGGAGAGATGGCTCAGCAATTAGGAGCACGGGTTATTCTTCCTGAGGCCCCAGGTTCAAGTCCTAGTTCCATATACTGTCTGTACCTTCAGCCTAGGGATCAGACACCTTCCCTCTTCTGGCCTCAGTGGGCACTTCAAACAGGTGGTGCACAGACATATGTGCAGGCAAAAATAGCCAAACATAAAATAATAATTTCAACAAAATTTAAAAAAAAATCTGGGTGTGATGACATACACCTTTAATCCCTGCACTTGGGGCCAGAGGCAGGCTGATCTCTGTGACTTCCAGGGTACAGAGACTGGTTTATACACGGAGTTCCCAGATGGCCAGGGCCACATACAGACCCTGTCTCAAAAGAACAAAACAAAACAAAACAAATAACTACTGCTTCGGATATTCAAACTCAATTATTTCAGGTTTAGTGGCCTGATCATACAATAGAGAAACTGAGGTCTGGATTTATTGTTATCCATATTGCAAATGGAGTTGACAATAGTTTCTAATTTTAGCTTTAGTTCTTTGAGAATTTCATACATGAGTACACATGTATTCACATCATTTCTACCCCATTCACCATGGCTTCACCTTTTTTGTTTGTTTGTTTGTTTTTTGTTTTTCTGAGACAAGGTTTTGAGGCTGTCCTGGAACTAGCTCTTGTAGACCAGGCTGGTCTCGAACTCACAGAGCACCTCCTGCCTCTGCTTCCCAAGTGCTGGGATTAAAGGCGTGCACCACCACCACCACCACCACCACCACCAACTCCATTCTCCATGGAGTTGAAATTTGAATCCAAGGTCACCGCCAAAGCCCATATTCTGTCTTTGTGGTTTTTGTATGTATGATATATATGTTTGTATATATGCATGTGGGTGCATGTATACTTGTGTGTGCATATGTATGGAGGTCAGAGGTCAGCATAAGTGTCCTTGTTCTATCTTTCTGAATAAGCCTACTTCCCACTAGTTAATTTTCAGCTGTAGGTATTATCTACTTGTCACCAGGGCTTCTGGCCAAAATACTTGGCTTTGGGTCTGAACACTTATTTGTCTGTATTAAGAGAAAACAACATTGTGTTTCTATGACATATAGATTCTCATATGGAAAATTTAGTTTGTTTTTAGTTTTGGCCAACACTGGAGATTGACCCTCAGTCTGTGTCTACCTTGCCACAGAGTCATCCAGATCTAAAGAAAAGATAAAAACCATAGAGTGTGCAGATGTGGATTTACCTGTATGCCTGACCCTGTAACTGGGATAGCCTTCTCCTGGTGCAGGGATATTGGGGTAGCTTATTTCATTCCTAGCATGGTGTTTCCTCCAGGAATCCCAATTCCCTGATCCCTCATTAAAATTCCCCTTTTCTTATTCATGCTTCATTCTTGATAGATTTGGGACACACTGTACCATTGGGTTGGTCTTCTGTCATTAGACTGGTGCATGGATTGTATCAGGGCACTTGAAGCAGGTAAGGATTTAAGAAAAAGATGAAGAAGAGGAAGAGAGAGCTGCACACCTATACCTAAGACTGAAAAACTACCAGAGTCAAGTTTGGAGAGGTTGCTTCCCCTAGTGGATGGATAGGTAATAGGCATGAAGACCATATGGTCCTTTGTCTCCACTGCTTTGTCAGGGAATGTAGGTCACAATTTCTCCCTTGTCTCTGAACAAAGATTTTCTTTGAAGTCATTAGTGATGTTCCTGTGTTATCAGAGCTGGGAGGAGTGCAGCCAGAGTCAAATTTCACTTAGAAAGGGAAGACGTTGTAAAGAAACAAACACTTGAGCTGGAGAGTTGGCTCAGGAGTCAAGAGCACTTGAGGGGACCCAGGCTTAGCTCCCAGCACCCATATGGCAGCTCACAACTATGCCACCAGTTTCAGAGAATCCAATGCACTCTTTTGGATAACTTGTGCACCTCATATACATGGTATACTAACAATCCACATGCCAACACTTATGCACATTAAAAAATAAAAATATTTTTAAAGCACTTAGGGCTAAATTTATGTAGCAAATGGGTTTTTTTTTGTTTTGGTTTGGTTTTTCGAGACAGGGGCAAATGGGTTTTTAAAGAATGGCCTTGGTTAAGTTTATCTGGGTTTAGATAATCATTTTTAAACATGAATTATAGCCAGGATGGTGATGCAGGCTTGTAATCCCAGCACTTGGGAGATGGGGATAAAAATTATCAGACATTCAAGACCAGCCTCAGCTACATAGTAAGTTCTGTGTCAGCCTATGCTGACCTAATCATATATACAAAAGTATGAATAATGCTCATTTTCACTAGTGATTAAAATACAGCTGGCTGCCAGGACGGTTCTGTGGATAAAGGTGATTGCTGCCACCTGAGGACCTGAGTTTGGTTCCAGAAACTCACATGGTGAAACAAAGACCAGACTCCAGAACATTATCCTATGACAAGCATGGTGAGAGGCATGTGCGTGAGTGCAAACATGTACACACACACGTGGGCACAGGCGCGCACACACACACACACATACACACACACACAGCAACACCTTCCCCACATTATTATTTACCAAATTAGCCAAACAAAAGACAATGATCATGGACAAACAGGCTGGCTCAGCAGGTAAAGGTGCTTGCCCCTCAAGCCTGATGAACAAAGTTCAATTCCTGAACCCTCTGTGAAGATGGGAGGAAAGAAGAAACTCCAGAGAATTGTCCACACTCGTGCTGTGGCTCCTGTGCATACACACACACTAGGAACATTGGAATAAAAACGAACTGTGGGATGGGATATAGCTCAGAGTCTTTATCTAGTTTCCATGAGGCCATGGGTTCAACCTCAGTACTACATTAGCAGGATATGGCAAGTTAAGTTAGCCTGTAGTTGTAGCTTTCAGGAGGTAGAGGCAGAGGATGAAGAAGTTCAAGGTCATCCTTGGTTACATGTGAGGTGAAGGTCAGCTGGGCTACATGAGACCCTGTCTCAAATAACATTAAAAATTGATTTCGGTGTTGTTTTTTTTTTAAGATTCATTTATTATGTATACAGTGTTCTATCTGCTTGTATGCCTGCATGCCAGAAGAGGGCGCCAGATCTCATTACAGATGGTTGTGAGCCACCAATGTGGTTGCTGGGAATTGAACTCAGGACCTCTGCAAGAACAGGCAATGCTCTTAACCTCTGAACTATCTCTCTAGCCCCATGATTTCAGAATTAACAGGGGTATAGAAAACAGATAATATGAAAAATGTGATTGTTCTCCATATCCTGCTAAGAAATACTCTCGCCCAGGCCTAAGTGGAAGTGGAAAAGTGTATGTTAGCAGCATATATGTAAGAGTACAGTTTGTGTTTTTTAAAAGATCCATGTATATTGGTAGAGGGAGGGGAATTTTTTGTTTGTTTGTTTGTTTGTTTTTGGAGACAGGGTTTCTCTGTATTGTTTTGGAGGCTGTCCTAGAACTCACTCTATAGACCAGGGGGGCCTCGAACTCACAGAGATCTGCCTGCCTCTGCCTCCCAAGTGCTGGGATTAAAGGAGTATGCCACCAATGCCCAGCTGAGGGAGGGGAATTTCTTTTTGGTTTGCTTTGTTTTTGAGACAGGGTTTCTCTGTGACTTTGAAGACTGTTGTGGAACTAGCTCTTGTAGACCAGGCTGGTCTCGAACTCACAGAGGTCTGCCTGCCTCTGCCTCCCAAGTGCTAGGATCAAAGGTGTGCGCCACCACTGCCCAGCTCAAAAGATATCTTCCTTTCTTAGGAACTTCCTGGTCTTCATGTTTTCAGCCAGTGACTTACCCCAGAACTGCTGAGTCTCTCCTGCTATTGACACAAGTGTCTTGCACAAACATCCTGGCCTTGTAGTTAGCGTGTGCCTTATGTAAGGTTGAAGGGCTTGAACTGTGATTGATGCTAAAGGAGCCCAGTACAGGGTAGAAGAAGCAAACCTTTTCCAAGGTAACTTCTCTGCAAAACCTTTCCCAGATGATCAACATGTCTACCTGTAGAGCTGAGGGGACCTGATCCAAATATCAGAACAGCAAAGGAGAGATACATCTCCAAGCCTCTTTGTCCCATTTTCATTGCCCATCAGATAGTTACAGGTTCAAATGAAGGGTCAGTGTTTTCAGCAAAAGCAGCTTTCAAACTTCTGCTGTTACCTAGGCAACTGCTATCATAGCCCATACATTAGGGGTGTTGTCTGCAGCAAAGCTAGAGGGGGAGCTATGATGTATTGCCAAGCTGTGTGACTTCCAAAATCCATGCTAACTCAATTAAGAGTCAGTAAGCTGGAGGCTGGGGTAATTTAGGTTTTTCTTTAGTGACAGTTCCCCCTTGTCTTTGACATTTGTGTGGCTTCTCAGACCCCTCCAGTTTTGTATTGTAGCTTAATCCAGGTACAGGGCCTCCAGGTCAGCAAATACTCTGGCCTGTGTTAAAATATGGTGTTTAATGACAACACTATCAGAAGCTTTAATGAGTAACATGTGAAGAATTCAGAGATATTTGTGCTTTGCCCCTTATAGCAATCTCTACCTGTCTTAGAGTAGCACTTATTCTTTTTTATCTCAAATTCAGCTGTTCAGGTTCCTCTCTAGGGGAAGTGACTAATCTCACTCTAATTACTGTTATTTATACTGTTGTCTGTCATAGTATCAATTTCTTTTTTATTCATGTGTGTGTGTATATATATGTATGTGTGTGTGAACACTTTAGTGTGTGTGTGTGTGTATGTGTGTGTGTGTACCCGTGCATGTGTGTATCTGGTGTTGTTCCCTAGGAACTGTCCTGTTGCTGAGTCAGAGTCTCACTGGGACCTGTTCCTGGCTGGTTAGACTAGGCTGGCTGGCCAGGGAGCCCCAGGGATCTCCCTGTCTCTGCCTCTCAGGTCTGGGATTGCAAGGGTGCCCCTTCACAGGTCCTCATGTTTGCACAGTGGGCACATAGTGACTGAGCTATCTCCTCCACTTCAATCTTCGTTTTTCTCATTATAGCGTCCTTAGGCTGCAGTTGGTGTGCCTGTCATATTTCCTGAGAGTGATTGTTTCAGTGCCTTCTGCTTCAGGAAGCTGTCCTTAGTTTATCTTCTTGGCTCTCCTCATGCCTATGCAGTAGAGTGCAAGCGTTTTATCTCTGTTTCTCTAGAAGGCTTCGTGGTGATATTAATACAAAGCTCTGGATTTATTATCTTCCCAACTATTCCTGATACACCTTTTCCCACCAATGCAAAAAAAAACTTCATTTAACATTCCCAGTAAGCTTAAATTTTCTTATTGTGTGGAGAGAGAGAGAGAGAGAGAGAGAGAGAGAGAGAGAGAGAGAGAGCATGCACACTCTCAGACTGTGTTCTCTGCAGCTTAGAATATGTTTTCTGCTTATTCTAGGAAGAGCTGAGGACCAACCTGGAACTGATTCAAAGTTACAGACTACGAATTGCCCAAGATATCAACCAAGGAAACCTAGAGCTTTTCCTGCGTTCTTATGATAGGTACAGTGTTTCCTATTCTTGTAGACCAGTTCAAAAGAGATGACAATCGCCTGTAAGAGAAAAGAGGCAGGGAGCTTCCCCTCCCCCATGCTGTGTGATAGCTTGCATGTACTATATGACCATGCATATAGAAAAAGAGAGAACATTTGAGCTTTGACTTAATTGCTCTTTGCTGGAATTATTCCATAAGGCAGAAGTATCCTGTGGGTGCTGAAATACAAAACAAAAGTTTATGTATTCCAGAATTCACACACGACTTCCTCCATTGTCAGAGTTGGGAAGGTGTGCTATTTCCTGTCTGGGAACTGCCTCTCAGGGTGAAAACACAGGCTCCTCTAGGAAACACGTGAAGGGCCATGATTTTCCCGCAAACGATACTGATTCTGCTTTGTTTGTCTAGACGAAGAGACCTGAAGATTAAAAGACCCAAACCAGGCCAAAATGACAACAGGTTGAAAACATTAAAGTAAGTGAATTGCTGCGTGTCTGCCTGTCATGACGAATCCCTTGTCCACAGTGTGTGTGCTTACTTGCTGACTGACTCCTCTTCTTCCGTGTGCTCGTAGGTGTTCTACTTTACTGGTGGTAGGAGACAATTCACCTGCTGTGGAGGCTGTGGTAAGTATGTCCTGATGTGAGGAGGCTGGGACTGAAGTGTAGTCACATGTGTGTGTCAGGCACACAGCTGACACAGTGTCACGGAAACGTGACCACACTAGGTCATGCTGTATCTAATTGCACCGGCTGGGTTTTACTTTTACAAATTTTGAAAACCAATTCTTTAGCTGTAATTGGAATTTTCTTTGGGCCACCAACCAGCTCCCAAATAAACACACAGAGACTTATTACTTTTTCTCGGCCTTAGTTTAGCCTTGTCCCACTAACTCTTTTAATGTCTCATCTACTCATCTAACTCTTTAACTCATCTACGTCTTGCCTTGGGGCTTTCTACCTTTCTTTCATTCTGTATGTCCTGCTTCCCAGCTTTCTCTGTGTCTGCCTGGTTGGCCCCTGGTGTCTCCCTGGCACCTCCTTTTCTTTCGTCCTTTTTTCAAGCCTAGATTCCTCTTCCTACATACTCCCCCTGCTTGGAAGTCCTACCCATACCTCCTCCCTCTCTATTAGCCATTGTAGGCAGGCAAGGTATAACAGCAGCACATCCTTACATAATTAAACAAACGCAACCCACCTTTACCTAAACAGTCAGCAGTCACCAGGTCTCATCAGATTGATCATGTGGTCTTTGATGGTTCTGTGTGCTGCTGTTCACTCTGTGGCAATTAGTGCAGTGAAACACTGTATATGTGTCAGACTTCTGGCACACAGCCAGCCTTCCACCAGGAGGAAGTTAACACAAATCCCACAGGCTGGAAGGTGGCTGAGGGCCTATAGCCTTTCTCTGCTTACTTCTGAAGTGCATTGCACCATTTTTAAAAGTGCTCAGTGTAGGAAAATGTTACAAAGCATAGAATGGGTAGTTGTGATCCCCATTACCAAAGATAAACTTTGCTTTAACAGAGTCCTGACTATATTAAATAGCTAGATTCGGAGGTTGGGTTATTAGGTAAGGTGAAACCCAAGAGCTAGTTTTATATCCTACAATGTAGATTTGTCTCAGTTGTCAGTTTGTGTCTTTTCTTTTTTCTTTCTCTCTCTTCCTTCCTTCCTTCCTTTCTTCTTTTTTGAGACAGGATTTCTCTGTTTAGTGCTGGTTGTCCCAAAACTCACTCTGTAGATGAGGCTGGCTTTGAACTCTGAGTATTGGAAATAAAGGTATGTGCCACCACTGCCCAGCCTTGAAGTATTTTCAATTACATCTGGTCTCATGTTTCTAGTAGAACCATTGCCTATAAACCCACCCTTTGGTCCTTGCCCTGTCGAAACTGTAGCATCTCTGGTTGTGGCAATCCATTTTTTCTAGCAATTATGATAATGTCTGTGAAAGATGGATATTTTGAGTACATACTGTATATGGCATAAAATTGTGAGTCAATGGAAATGAGGATTGTGAAGGTTCAAATGTTATTATTTGTCTTAAGGAAAACTGTTAAGTTTGAGACTGGAACATCACTGGTAACTTCAAAGAGAAACATGTGGCTTTTCCGAGTTTGGGTGCGTGTATTAAGAACTGAAATGTTGGCCAGGCATTGGTGGCGCACGCCTTTAATCCCAGCACTCGGGAGACAGAGGCAGGCGGATCTCTGTGAGTTCGAGGCCAGCCTGGTCTACAAGAGCTAGTTCCAGGACAGCCTCCAAAAGCCACAGAGAAACCCTGTCTCGAAAAAACAAAAAAAAAAAAAAAAAAAAAAGAACTGAAATGTCACTGGGTGGTGGTGGCACACACCTTTAATCCCAGCATTTGGGAGGCAGAGGCTGGTGGATCTCTGTGAGTTTGAAGCCAGCCTGGTCTACAGAGCAAGATCAAGGACAGCCGGAGATACACAGAGAAACCCTGTCTTAAAAGACAAATAAAGAAAGACAAAATAAAAGTGAGAGAGTCACGGGAATCCAGCTTCATACTGGGGGCCAGAGACCTTGAGGCAGAAGAGTCAGTGGTTGGGGAGTGGCAGCCCGAGCAGGGAGGTGGAGACAGTGCACAGGCTGAGAGGGAGTAGTGCTGGGACAGCATGGAGGGCAGCCCAGCAGGATAGGCCACAGTCTGTTCGCTCGCAGAAAACAGGCCTTGCCCGCATGTCATGGCCACCAGGGAGAGCAGTTAGATTCATCATGCAACTGTTCATTAACGAGTAACAGACAATGAAGTTGCATGATATTTACATCATATATATTACTCTGTGCATTGCACATGTGTGTATATGTGCGGAGATCAGAGAATGATGTGCAGTTTGTTCTCTGCTTCCATCATTTGAGCCCTGGGGATCACACATAGGTCATCAGGGTGGCAGCAAGTGCTTTTACTGCTAAGCCTTTACTGTTTTGCCAGCTCATTTCCAGATTTGTGGATGTGTTCTGAAGTATCAGATATGACAAGAAGCACTTGAAACCCCACAGTCTATGTTGGTACTCTGTTTGACTAGGTCGGCCACCAGCAAGCTGAACTGCTAATCCTGTAGGATCATTCTGATTCTAAGCCACTGAATATTTTCCTTATAAAATTGTTTTCTCCTTTTTGTTTTTAAAAGGTTGAATGTAATTCTCGCCTCGACCCTGTAAATACAACTTTATTGAAGGTAATGTGTTTTCTGTCACTGCCAACCACTTGTGAGTGAGTTAGCATGATTTCAAATTAGGCTGTTCTCCAGAAAGTGTCACAGAAAATCTTCTCATGATTCTGTCATTCCCTGTTTTAAACATAAAGGAACAGAACTTCCAGAGTATATTCTCATGTTAGTTGCTTTCATATTGCTGCAATACAACCCCATGACCAAGGCAACATATAAAAGAAGGTGTTTGCTTGGTTTTACAGTTAGAGGGTTAAGTCCATAATGATGGAGCAAAGACATGATGGCAGGAACAGCTGGGAGCTCACACCCCCACATAAGAGTGCAAAGAGCAGCTAGGCGTTGGTGGCGCACGCCTTTAATCCCAGCACTCGGGAGGCAGAGGCAGGCAGATCTCTGTGAGTTCGAGGCCAGCCTGGTCTACAAGAGCTAGTTCCAGGACAGGCTCCAAAACAATACAGAGAAACCCTGTCTCGAAAAACCAAAAAAAAAAAAAAAAAAAGAGTGCAGAGAGCACACTGGGAACTGGGAATGGCACAAACCTCAAAGCCCACCCTGAGTGACGCACCTCTCTGACAAGGCCACACCCCCTAGTACTTCCTAAATAGCTCTGCCAACTGGGGACCAAGCATTCAGACATGGAGCCTATGGGAGCCTATGGGAGCCTATGGGAGCCACTCTATTCCAAACCACCATAGTCCTCGTAGAGACTGGGAAATAGAATAAACAGAACAAAAAACTTAAATCGCTCAGAATCCTAGTAAAAGGGTTACCTATAGTAAAGGTATTGGGGTCTTTTTAATGTATTTATTTTTATTTTATGAGCATTAGTGTTCTTCTTGCATGTATATCTGTGTGAGGGTATTAGGTCTCCTGAAACTGGAGTTACAGACAGTTGTGACCTGCCATGTGGGTGCTGAGAACTGAAACCAGGTCCTTTGAAAAAGCACTAACGCTCTAAGCTACTGAGCCATCTCGCCAGCCCTGATATTGGTGTCTTTTTCCTGTACTGTTTGATATCATTAAAATCAGAATGTATGCACTAAGCAAGGTGGCAAACACCTCTAAACCCAGCACTCAGGAGGCAGAGACAGGTGGATCTCTGAGTTTGAGACTAGCCTGGTCTGTAGATTGAGTTCCAAAACAGCCAGGGCTACACAGAAAAACCTGCTTCAAAATGCCTCCCAAAGGTACTGATAGCTCCATATCTGTTTTCCCCCCATTCATGACAAACATTTCCCTAGATCACCAAAAACTGCATAAACCAGATAGGATAGCACACATCTGTAATGCTAGCACTTGGGGGGTGGAAGCAGGCACATCTTGACTTGGAGGCCAGCTTTGGCTACATAGGGAGAATGTCTGAAAAACAAAAACTGTAACAAAAATGTTAATAATTCACTGGGCTGCTATAGTGGCACACGCCTTTAATCCCAGCACTCTGGAGACAGATGCTGGTGAATCTCTTGTGAGTTGGAGGCCAGCCTGGTCTACATTGTGAGTTCCAGGACAATCAGACTTGCATAGTGAGATACCATCTTGAAGGAAAAAAAGAGTCCACAGTTCTTTAAAAGAACAAGATACGTTTTTAAAAATGTTAATAATTGGACTGGAGAGATGGCTCAGAGGTTAAGAGCACTGTCTGCTCTTCCAGAGGACTTGAGTTCAATTCCCAGCAACCACATGGTGGCTCACAACCATCTGTAATGACCCTCTTCTGGCATCCAAGCAGAACAGTGTATGCATGATAAAGAAATTTTAAAAATGTTAATATTTCAGTGTTATTAAGAGAATCACACAAAATGGAAATGTTTTTACAGTCTTAACCTTGCTGTATTGGTAAGAAAATTCCAGAAATATTCTGATAATTAAGATAGGTGCACTCTAAGCAGATAGACAGCAACTCTTTTGGGGGGAGAAAAGGCCTCATGTATCCCATAATGGCCTCAAATCTGTTTAACTGAAGATTACCTTGCACTTCTGATCCTCCTGCTACCACCTTTCAAGTGCTGGGATGGCAGGCATGTGTCACTGTGTGAATTCATGCAGTGCTGGCGACTCAGCCGCAAGTTCTGTGCGTGCCAGGCAAGCACTCTGACAAGTCTGCATCCCCACACCCAGACAGCAACTCTTTTACTTTTTATTTATTATCTTTTGAGACAGGGTCTTTCTACATTGCCCTGGCCAGCCCAGAACTCACTATGTAAATCAGGCTGTCCTTGAACTCTCAGAGATCTGCCTGCCTCTGCCTCCTGAGTGCTGGGAGTAAAGGCGTGTGCCACCAAGACTGGCAGACAGCCATTTGTTACCTAAATGTCTGGGCTAGTGTGACGATTTGCCCCTATTGCCATTTCTTTTTCCCCTTTCTGGGACAGTGCTTGGAGGCACTCAGAATGATCCAGCTTTTGAGATCCCATCATAGGTTTCCCTACAATAAAGCCTTTAACAAAACTCCCTGACACTGGGATTGTTTACCTTTGTACCAAGAAGGTAGGGAAAGCATCAAAATCTGAATGTGGTGTGTGCCTAGGCAGACTTCTAGGGGTTCAGGCTGTAAGCCCTAAAGTCCTCACAAGATTGTCTGAGACAAAGAAGCATGTCAGCAGGGCTTATGATTGTCCCACGTATGCCAAGTGTGCCCAAGACAGGCGCAAGTGTGCTTCCTTATTGAAACTTGATGGGAAGGTGTTGAAGGCACAGGCAGAGTCAGAAAGCAAAGTGAATATGGAGCTTCTTAGGTGATAAAAGTCAAGGCTCAGTCTAAAAAAATAAACAAATAAACATATTCTCTCCATTGGTTGAGCATGGTGGCACACACCTTTAATCACAGCACTCAGAAGGCAGAAGCAGAGGATGTCTGTGAGTTCAAGCCAGGGCTATGTAGTGAGACCTTGTCAAAAAACAAACAAAAAATCTTTTCCCCTTTCAGTGTCCCCGACAGGAGCTCCAGCTGAGTGTGTCTGAACTGGAGCCTCTGTTCACGCATTTGGGCCACTGCAGACAGCTTGTGAGGCAGGTGAACAGATGCTGGTTATCTGATGGGTAACAATGTGTGAATGGTGTCCCCTTGTCCTGTGAGATAGCCCAACAGGTACAGGCATTGCCGTGTCAGCTTGGCCATCTGGGTTTGCTCCCTAAAACATACCACACATGAACTGTCTCACACACACACACTCATACACACACTCACACTCATACACACACTCACACTCACACTCATACACACACATACACACATGCATGCACACACACTCACACACACAAGCATACACACACACAGAGACACACACACACACACTTGTGCACTCTTTTGTTTTTCTTTTTCGAGACAGGGTTTCTCAATATTGTTTTGAAGGCTGTCCTGGAACTCACTCTGTAGACCAGGCTGGCCTTAAACTCACAGAGATCCGACTGCCTCTGCCTCCCGAGTGCTGGGATTAAAGGCACGCGCGCCACCACCGCCCGGCCACTGGTACACTCTTATGGGTGTGTAGAAACATGCCTGGAGGTGCACATGCAAGTGTGTGGAGACCAAAGGCCAACACTGGGTGTCATTCTCTACTTCATTTTGTTTGGTTTGAGAGAGGGTGACACTTTGTAGCCCTAGCTATGAAATTCACTAGGTCGACCAGGCTTACTGAACTCATAGAGATCCACCTGCCTCTGCCAAGTTCTGGGATTAAAAGTGTGGGATACCTTGCCTGCCTCTCCACCTTTCACCCTTTTAATACTTCTTTTATTGTGGGTATGTGTGAGAGTGTGTTATATGAAGCATGTACAGGCAGGAGCCCATGGAGGTAAGAAGAGACTTCAGATCCCTGGAACTGGAGTTACAGATGTTTTTGAGCCACCATGAGGGTGCTGGGAAGTGAGCCATCTCTCCAGTCTGAGAGATCTGCCTCTCTGTGCCCTGGCATCACTGAGGTTGGTTCTGGAATCTGAACTCAGTCCTTATGCTTCTACAGCAGGGACTTAATCAACCAAGCCACAGTCTCAGTCTCAAACTCAGGATTTCTGTGGCATTCCATATCTTAAATCATAGCTCCCATTTATTTATTTATTTATTTATTTATTTATTTATTTGGGGGGGGTTTATGAGACAGGGTTTCTCTGTATTGTTTTGGAGGCTGTTGGTCCAGCCCGGCCTCAAACTCACATAAAGTTTTTGTTTTGTTGGTTGGGTTTTGTTTGTTGTTGTTGTTGTTGCAGGGGATGTGGGGTTTAAGACAGGGTTTCTTGGTGTAGCCCTGGCTGTCTTAGAACTTGTTCTATAGAGCAGGCTGGCTTTGAACTCACAGAGATCTGCCTGCCTCTGCTTCCTGAGTGCTGGGATTAAAGGTGTGGGCCACCATGCCTGGCATAAAGCTTTTTAACAATGAAACCATGGAATTCATATCCCTTTAAACAGAGACAATTCAAAACCAGGAATAATGGTGCATATCTTTAATGCCAGCACTCAGAAGGCAGAGGCAGGAGAATCTCTGTAAGTTTTGAGGGGGGCCTGGTCTACATAGAGTTCCAGGACAGCCAAGGCTACGTGGAGAGCCCCTGTCAATAAACAAATGAAAAAACAAATAGAATCAAGTCAGCCAAGTAGCCCCTTTGAAAGGACTTGGAATACTGAGAGTGTTCCCCTTAGTGGAGTCCTGCTGACTTAGGTGTTCTTCCTCTTCTAGATGGCAGACTGTGGAGGACTGCCCCAAGTAGTTCAGGTAAGAGAGTACTCATAAGTACTCGTGCGTACACACACACACACATCTCACACACACACACACACACACACTCATTGCTACCTCTCTACTTATGCAAAGATTAATGCCTTCTTCCTTTTTAAAAATTTTTGTTTGCTGTTTGCTTCATTCATTCATTTTGAGACAGGCTCTTACTATGTAGGCCTGGCCAGCCAAGAATTCACTCACTATGTAGACCAGGCTGGTATTGAGGTCACAGAGATCCACTTGCCTCAGCCTCCTGAGTGCTGGGATTAAAGGTTGTGCCTACATGCCCGGATGACTGATGACTTCTTTTTTTTTTATTATTTTTTGTTTTTGTTTTTCTTTTTTTAAAGATTTATTTATTTATTACGAACACAACACCTTGCCCCCATGTATGTCTACACATCAGAAGAGGGCACCAGATCTCATTACAGATAGTTGTGAACCGCCATGTGGTTGCTGGGAATTGAACTCATGACCTCTGGAAGAGCAGTCAGTGCTCTTAACCTCTGAGCCATCTCTCCAGCCCGACTGATGACTTCTTGTTTTGTACCCCCAGCCTGGAAAGCTCACTGAGGCCTTCAAGTACTTTTTGCAGGGAATGGGCTACAGTGAGTAGTATATGCTTTCTATTTATGGATGATGGGGTAAGTTTGACATCCAAAAGTCAATAGTTCTCAGAATATAACCAACCCATCGACTAATCGGCTTTAAAGTGGAAACCAATAGGGTGTGTTAAATTCATTTATGCGTATATGTGAGATGGGCAGATGCCATCAGCACTTACCTGTAACAGGAGGTCCTTGGGAATGGATGGCAGTCTCACTGTGTTGGACTTGCACTGTAAAACACATCTGACTTGTTTTTCTTTTGTTCTTTAGTTTAGTCTTGTGTACACTACACATTTTGGTGACCAGTATGTGTTCCCATAGTCACCTTCCTAATCACTGTATGAATGGCGTGGACACAGCTAAGAGGCTTTACTCTGACCTTAGGGTTTCCCATCATTCTCTGAAGTAGACTCTGGGGAGAATCCAGACGCAGGGGATCAAAGCAGCCTTGCATACAGTCACTTGCCTAGAACAAATAGTGCAAAGTGGGGCCCCTCTTATGTTGTCCTGGGGATCGTCTGAGGTGGGCTGGGAAAGGTGAAGTCTTTGGTAAAACCTGTAGAGCACCTGAGCTTCACCGAGCTCCTCCTCCTAATCTCCTGGTTCCTTGTTACAGTACCATCTGCCAGCATGACCCGGCTCGCTCGATCTCGAACCCACTCAGCCCCCAGTAACATTGGATCTGAAAAAATTTATTTCAGCCAACCTGTGACCATTGATCAGTCCGATGGAGCTCAAGAAGCCCGTGAGGCCCCTAGTCTCCTAAACACACCCCAGACCATGGAGGTGTCTTGCTAAGCAGATGGGTCCTCCCTGGACCATGCAAGCCCCTCCTTTAGATGCCCATAATAGAACATTTCATTCCATCTGCTGGCCTCCATTTTCTTTCACTTATGCATGGCCACAGCATCTGTCCCTCCCCTTCCTCTCTCTCTCTCTCTCTCTCTCTCTCTCTCTCTCTCTCTCTCTCTCTCTCTCTCTCTGTCTCTCTCTCTCTCTCTCTCTCTGTCTCTGTCTCTCTCCCTCTCTCATAGCCTGTATTTACCATTCTCTCCACATAGCCCTTTCATCTGTACTAAGAACCACACCCGTGCCTCTACTATAACATTTCAGTGTCTCTTAAAGTTATTTTCACATTTATTTAGTGTGTGAGTGTGTGTGCATTGGTGGAGGTAAGAGGTCAACATTCATGACATTCATGAACTGGTGCTTTTCTTCCATCCCTGGGATTGAGCTCAGGTGGTCAGGGTTGGCATCCACACGAATTTCCCTCCAACAATCTTTTTTTTTTTAGGACAGGGTTTCTCTGTGGCTTTGGAGGCTGTCCTGGAACTAGCTCTGTAGGCCAGGCTGTCCCTCCAACAGTCTTACTTGAACAGTGTAAGTCACCTTCCTACAGAGAATATGCTTCCAGTGCAGGCCCTTCTGCCCTGCATGCCAGTCAGCCTCCTCAGAAGCAAAGGAGACAGAGTCCCCAGAAAAGGCTGCAGTACCTGAGCTCACTCTAGTGTTGGAGCTCAGTGGGTCTTTGTGTTAAAGAGTGATCGCTAAGGAGGAGATAGTAGGCAGGTGTGTTCACTGTGTAGTGGATACAGTCAAGGGAATTCTGTCAATTCTGGAAAGGACACCTGTGTAGCACAAATAATAAAAACCCAGAGACAGATAGTGGGGTTCAAGTTGAAGATCAGAAAAGCAAAGCAGTCAAGTCACTAGAGAGTTCTTACCTCTACCAAGGCTGAGGCTGGAGACTGAATGCCAAATGAGACCCTGAGCTCCTGCCTTATCCTCCTCTCTAGTGCTGGGGTTAAAGGCATGCACCACCACCGCCTCTATTGCTAACCAGTGTGACTGCTGGGATCACTGCCTGGCCTCTATGGCTGTGGCTAGCTTTGCATTCTGACCTCCAGGCAAGCTTTATTAGATCATAAACAATATTTCACTACATACTTGTGAATTTCAAGCTTGAGCATGCAGCAGAATCACCTGAAATGCCTGTAAAAAGTGAATGCTGAGATAGGCCTGTGCACCTAACAGATTCCCAGGTGGTTCTGTGGCTGCTAGAACCATACTTTGAGAAGCACTCTAGATTTTCCTTTAAGTGCTTGGGGTTGAACCCGAGGCCTAGAACACAGTAAGCACACTTCTACTTCTAAAACAGGCATCAACCCCAAATGTAAACTTTCAAAACGTAGTTCTTACACCAACAACATGGGCATTGCCGCAGGCTTGTTAGAAATACTATTATTATTATCATTATTTACAGCTGTGCTTGAGTGGAGGTCAGGGGGCAACTTTCAGAGATCTGGTGTATTCAGGGTGGTATGATCGTATGCAGAAAGCAACTTCCAGAGATCCGTTCTCTCCTTCCACCACCGAGTCCTGTGGATTGAACTGGGGTCATCAGGCTTGGTGATAAGCACCTTTACTGACTGAGCCATCACGCTGGCCCAGAAACAGTCCCACTTCAGAGTCTGTAGCTGAACAAGGTCCCAGGTGATTCCTATGCCTAGCCTTGCCCTCTGAAGATTTGGACACAGAATTGCTAAACTTGAGAGCTCTGGAGGTTACTGTGGACAGGCCTGCAGGGAAAACTCCTGCTCAACCCTCCCCGTTCTTTATTCCTTGGACCAGAAGGAGTCAAAAAGCCAAGAAGGACCTCCAGCATGAGGATGGGAGGGGCAGCTGTTCTCTAGAACAGGAAAAGGGCAATGTGGTGCCTCCATAGCCGACGATGCTGCTGCTGCCGTCAGAGGAAACAGAGGCGGGGAGGCTGTGGGGTTGTGAGAACCACAGAGTCTGCAGCTGGGAGCTGGAGCTCTGAGGAGTGGCACCTGTGTCTATAAGGGGCTCAGATCCCTGGGCCTCCCTCTCTGGCACACAGTGCTGCTTAGGACTGCCTGATCTGCTTTCCCTGAGAAACAAAGGCTCCTGCCTTAGCTTTCTCCGAACGCCTCTGGTGATCCTCCAGGCTGAGATCTGAATGTGACGACTAACTTAGTACCTGCAAAGGCCTGACCTCCGAATTGGCTGAGTGCTCTCACCAAAATTCCTATACAAACCTGTAAGTATGCTTGCTTTGTTCTCTGGTGGACTTGGGACAGCTGAGAAGGAAAGGTCTCCACTGGGACTGGGAGTGAGCTTTGTAGTTAGACTCCAGGAGGATGATTAGTACCACACAGAAGGTCTCTAGGATTCCTCAGACACAGGCTATTCTCCCTCTGACTGTCTCCAGGAGACACGCATTTTTCCAAGATCTCCCACCTCTGCAGTCTCTCCTGTGCTACCTACTTTCCTTGTGCGGTATCCGCTTCTCCTGGGCCACAGTCTTGGAGATCACGGAAGGAAAGGACCCCAGATTATTCTCCAAAGAGTCAGCTGTAGCATCTCTGTTGCTCTCACAGGGTGAGATTCTCAGTTTGAAAAGGGAGTAAGGCTGGGGTTAAAGATCACTGAACCCCTGAACTCTGTTCCCATATACAAAACCAAACCCACAAAATCACAAGAGAGAAGGTGGCCATCCTAACTCTGCACTGTCTATCCTGCTGCCTGAGCGGCAGCCTGCTATCCTCTAGATGAAGTCACTGTATCCTCCAGACATGGTCATTGCAATGAAAATGGGATTAGAGAGACGCAAAGCAGCCTGGGCACTGTGCAGTTTCAGCCGCCTTTCGCCAACACTGCCCACCCACTCCCAGGGACACCACAGATGGTGCCTAAGCGCATAGTATGCTTCTCAGACATGTGCCAAATGATCTGACCACTTCTGCAAATGTGGCCAACACCTGTTTATCCTCAGCCTCACTGCCACTGCCTGGGCCTCATCTTCCCCAATAGTCACCATGTGTTGGCCAGACCAAAAAGAAAGCCCTGGAGAAGTGTGCAGCAAGAGCAGGTCCCTTATGGTCCAGAGGTCCTAAAGGCTGTGGACTTGCTGACCCGGAGGCAGGAAGTTAATCACCTCCACTCCTCCCTTCAGCCCTGTGGAGTCCTTCATCACAGGAGACACTACAGACCACATGCTTCACCTGGGTCACACACACATCTGGTCTGAGTAAGGCACCCATGCTACCCACTGCCGGCATAAAGCCAAGCACTTAGCTTGAACCTCATACTCATGGCCAGCTGAAATGGATGAATTACCCTGGGAGTGAGCAAATCCCAGCCTCCAGGAGGCAGCAGGATTCCCCCCCTCACCAAGGCTGCCCAGTTCCCAAAGTCTGAGAGGAAGGGGCTGTCCAGAACCAGTCCTGGGGCACCAGCCTGCTTGGTGCTTCTGAGCTCTGTGTGTGGACTCTGAGCTCCTGCACAGAGGCAGCAGAGAGCACTGTTTGTCCAGAAGATGGACAGACTGCAGGACAGGTGGGCAGAGGAGTGGTCCTCCCTGCAAGACTGAGTCCTCTCAGTGGGGACTGTTCCAGGACATGGATGTCATCCCGTGCCATTGATGAACAACACCCTCATCAATGCAGCATGTGACCCTAGAGCAAGGAAGGTACCCACTAGCTAGCAAGGAAGGGACCATGCTATTCTGTGAGCTGCTGCTTCCCACCGTAAACCCATGACAGTGCCTGGCTCAGAACACAAACTCAGTGAATTACAGTTGAATGGAACCAAACAGGTGTACTACTGAAAACAATGAGACCAGGAAAGGATTAGAGAGCCAGCCCCACTCATGGAAACACTTAAGATAGTCTTGGAAAACCAGCATTTCTCTGGAAACCAAGGATTTGCTTAGTCTGAGGACAAGACACTGTGCAAAACACTCTGCTCACTTTGGTTCATTCTGTTGATGTGTGTCGAGTGCCTTCAGTGCGCCTCAATGCTGAGGACAGGGCATGGAACTGTAGGGTAGTGGCAGATTGAACAAATCTTCTGACTGAGCCTGGTGTCAGTCACAGGGCTATGAAGCAAAAGGATCACTTGAGCCCAAGAGTTTGGGGACAACCTAAGGAACATATTCCTCAGTTCATAGTCTCATAAAAACAAAAAAACAAAACAGCAAAAACTCTCTAAGGAACACATCAGAATAAGTGGAAAAGGAAGAGTTCCTGCGAGAATTTGTAACGATATTCAAAACCAGGAAGGAAGTATGATCCCAGGGCAGGCTTCCCAGGGCATTATCTACCTCACCCAAATGTTGGGTGTGGTTATCCCCACTTCTCAGATGAGGAAAAGGGGCACCAAGAATGGAGGTGACAGTCAGTCCCTGAGAGCCTTGCAAGCCACCACTGTGTCACAAGACTGACAGACTCCCAGCTCTTGGCACCAATAACTATCCAATGTCACCTCTGCTTGGGACTCCCATTCCAAGGCCTCTTGGCTCCTCCGTGACCCATCCCTATCTATGATCCCTGACATGCCTGGAGAGAGCTCAGTGTCTTGCCACTATCCCTGCCACCAGCTAGCAGAATGTGAGCCCAGGCCTAAGGAATGGTTCCTGAGGCCACAGGAGTTCAAAGGAGGATCAGCAAAGGCTGAAGATTCCTAGGAAGCTTCCTGAGGAAGGGTGGGGTCCAGACAGACACAGAGGGGATGGAAAAGGCAGGCTAACCCATGGGAGAGGACACAGGAAAAGGTCCAGAAGACTTGAATTGAGTAGGGTCACTGCCTAGGAAGGATGGGATACACCTCCAAGTTGCCGAAGCCTCAGCTTGGTATCTATGTCAGTCAGTCCAATGTAGTGATCACCTGCAAGGCCTGGAGAGACTTGGCGTTTTCAATGGCCCTGATGACCTATGAGAGCCAAGTGTCTGGGCCCCAGTTGGGGTGATGGGCTCTGTCTCCACAGCTGTACCCTTTTCAGGTTTCTTTCAGCAGTGTGCTTCTGAGAGTCTGCTGAGGGATGATGGGAAGTCTGCCCAGCAGAGCGAAAAGCCTCTCCAGCCCAAGCTCCAACCCCAATCCCTCTGGTACGGGCCAGGGGCCTGAGTCGACACAAGCAAGTAAGTCATGTCTGTGGGGGGCCACCAGCCCTTCCCAGGACTAGAGACCTAGAACTTATCACTCTGGATCTTCGGCCAACAATCCCAACACAACCCCAACTTCAGTGAGAGCCTAAGACAAGCTCCCAGCTTCTGAACTTGCAATAGTGGTGAGAACAATCAATGTGAGGGGAAGTGGAGGTCAGGGTTAGAGGGCTGGGTGGTACCAGGGAGCCTGTGACCCATCTCCAGCACACACCCAGAAATGTGTTTGAAGTTGGGCAGTAAGTTAGCTGCAGCAACACAAGCCTATGCTTCCTTCACTTAGAAGGCGAAAAGGAGAGAACTGTGGGTTTATGTATAGCCTGGGTTACACTAAAAGAGCCCGTCTTTAATTTCAAAATAGGGGTGGGGGTTTGCCTTGTTTGAAAACTGTCTTCACAGACATATCCAGACTGGTTTAACCAGATGCTACCTAAATGATGTACGGAGCCATGGTGGTCCAGACAATTAGCCATCACAGATAACAAGATCATCCAAACCCAGCTGCACTGTTAGGAGAGGTTCGGGGAGTACTATGTAACCTACACTAGAGACCGCAGGACCAAGATGTCTAGAAACTGTTGGTTGTCAGCCCCCAGATCCTTAAAGTAGCAGGGTTTCTTTTCCTGTTCTGCACTGAAGCCTTTTATCTCCCTAATACCAGCCTCCACAGGGCCCTGACACCCTGGGCGCCCCCTCATCTGCAGTGAGAGACCTGTAGGAAGAGCTCTGAAAACCACAGACAGCCTTTTCCACTGAGCTAGGGAGCTAGCGGCAGGTGGCCGGCTGCTGAGTCATCCTGGTGCTTCTGGGGATGGTGACTACCCCTGGAAGATGAACCTGGGCTCTGGGGATCTTTTCTCCCCTCCATCTGGTCCCCAAGGAAGGGAGGCCATCCCTCCTCAATGGAGTTGCCTTGTCCCAGAGTCATATGAGTTTTCACTAGCCCAGTCTAGGAGTCATTTGTCCCCCATGCCTGGCTCGGTCTGAAGCTTACTGAGGCTCTGCCAGGTGCCAAGCCATGTGACAGGAGCTGAAGACACAACAATGAACAAGATAGGTCCATCCCTCCCCCAGAGGCAGACAGAAGCTAAACCCTTGTGAGTGAGGTTGTGTTAGATTTTGGCAGTGTCGCAGGGATGAGAATGCAGGATGAGAGCCTTTCTGAAGAAAGGAAATGTAAAGGTGGCCCTGGGCCAGGCATGCAAGGCAACAGCTTTCAGGAGGGCAAGGGACCCACAGTACCAGGTTTCTTTGTTCCATTCTTTGGGAGAGACCACCACAGGAGGAGGCATCAGGCATTCTCAGCTGCAGGGACCCCAGGCTCTGGGCAGGCAACACTCTCCCCCCCATCCCCATCCCCCCATCTGAGAGCTTCCTGCTGTGAGGGTTTCTACTAAACTTTTAAGAGGGAAGATGCAGTAAGGGTGTCTTCCTACCACCAGCAGAGACCCTTCAGCCCCACCTACTTCCTGGTTCCTTATGTCTGTCTTCTCCCCTCTCCTACTCCTGGCTCTCAGCTCCCTCTTGAGAGCATCCCAGAGTCCTGTGGGACCTTGGTGCTTTGGGAGCCCCTTAAGAGAGACAGAATCCTTGTTGACCTTGTCTATTTTTCTTGTCATCCTGCATCTATGTGCTAGGAAACCCTTACTGAGAAAGGACAGGAGTAAGGAAAGAGAGGTGAGGTAGGTGAATTCATTTCCGGTCAACATTTGCAGGCCCTGTATGGGCTGATGTAAGGAAAGTGAGTCCTCTGTTTGCCACCTGATGCCCTGCCTCTGAGTTGGACATGTTGTCCACTGAGTCCTCAGGACCATTTCTGGGGTGACCAGCTTCACTCTGGTTCCAGGACCCAGGCCATCACCCCTACCTCTGGAACCTTTGCCTCCCAGGAAGGCAAAGAGGTGCCTTCTTGAGAGGTGCAGCTCTCAACCAGCCCCTCCCCCTCTCCTCCTCCCCAGCCTGGGCCTGTAAACTGAGTGATATGGAATTGGAATTATGCCCCTCTCCTTGCTGAGTGCCACATCGGGACCTTGAGACCTTTCTGCACAGTGGAGATGGCTAAACACACCAACGCCAGGGTAGTGGTAAGGGCCCAGTAAGAAGTTAGGTGAAGAGGGGCCCGCTGTGTGGGGTACAGTCAGGTTTAGCAGGACTCTTAGTCACATGCTCCTGTGGGGCACTCGACCTGGCCAGGCCTGCAATAGCAGCCTCTGGTGGCATTGCAGGGACAGCACAGGCCTTCACTCACTGCCCAGGACATAGGCCATTGGGAGTTCAGCTTGTGCATGTGCACAGTGCTCCTGAGCTACAGCGCCTGCTCACATGAGCATCTCTCCAAGGGCCTGAAGGAGGAGTAACAAGAACACTAGAGTCAGGTGTGTGAGGAAGAGCCCACCCTGGAGAGGGAGGATACCCTCAGCTCACAGACCCTGCTTTCTGTCTCGTGACAGCTCATGCCAGTGCTGGTGCTAGCTACACCCTCATTCCTGGGGCCCCAGGCCAAGCTGTTAGAACTACTGTGTGGCCTCACCACTACTTTTCAGAGGCCCTCTCAGATCATGCTGATATGGACTTCTAGCTGGGGTGGGTTTTTCTTTTATTTTGCTGTGGGGCTAGGGATGGAACCCAGGGCCTTGCACATTCTAGGCAAATGCTGTTGTAGTAAGCCACATCCCCAGCCCCTGTAGGTTTTCAGTTTCCTAACTGTAGCTTCCCTTCATCGAGGTCTCTAAAAGTTATACATACAGAAGGGCATGGCCAGCACCCTAGCCACACACCCTAGGCCTTTGGGAACCCCCAAAGCTATCTAGGCTCTCCCAGGTCCTGTAGAGCCTGCTGGAAGCATTTCAGATTCGGATTTACCCCATCCCCTTCAGGGTGCCTGTGGGAGTGGTGTATGAGGGGAGCCAGACCAAGGCAAGAATCAACTAGCTCAAGAGGGTAAGTGTGTTTACCCCTCTTTCTAGAGAGAAACAAGGTCACAGCTGTGGCCCTGGGCAGTTTCCCAGCAGGTGAGCAGACAGGACTGTCTCTGAGACTCGGGGAGCCACTGACCATCATCTCTGAGTAAGTCTACAACCCTGGGCCCCTAAGGTCACGCTGTGGAGAATGGGTCCTTCCACTGCCAGCAGAAAGGCACAGGGTTGCTTTTGAAAGGCCACCATGTGACCATGTCTCTAGGTGGATTCCTGGCAGCCTGACTCACTCACAGGGAGAGAGGCAGTGGGACCAGGCCTTGGAACAAGAAACCTCAGACCATTTGCCACCTGCCAGGCCCTCAACCGAGGAGGAACCTGGATGATCTGGTGAAAGGAGTTCTGGGAAATGAGTAGAGAAGGTGCTGTAAGTTCCATCTGGAGAAGGTCCTTGCAAACTCCAGTTGAAGGTGGCCCTCTGTGATCTCTCAACAGGGATGGAGATTGGTGGACAGTCATATCGGAAGTCTCGGGCAGAGAGTATCACATCCCCAGTGTGCATGTGGCTAAAGTCTCCCACGGGTGAGTACCCAGCCCAGGCCACCTTGAGGACCGTTCTACTCTCTTCCCACAGTGTTCTCTTTATGCTTAGCCACAAGCAGAACAGAGCCTGGGTCATGACCTCCAAAGGAGCAAACAGCTGTCATGTCTTGTTCAGCTTGGCCCATGAGACTTGGGAACCCAGAGAAGGCCCCATAGAAGAGGAGGTGTGGTATGGGGTTTTGAAGGGTGGCCAGGATCAAGTGTAAAGAACACTGAAGGGACATGTAGGGGACAGGCACAGTCTATAAGGACATCCTGAAGTGGGAAAATGAGAGACACTTCTCACAAGAGTGAGGGGATCAGCAGTGGGCTGGAGGACAGAGGACTGGGCAGTGGTGACAGAGGCTGGGGCAGCCTGTACTGCCCTCCTCCCCCACCCCAGACACTTGGGAATGAAGTCTCCAAGCAAACAAAGCCCGAAGCTGCCTTCATAAGCCTGGCCTCAGAGTCTCTGGAGTCAGGACCCTGAGAGCAAAGCTGGAGGGCATCTCTGAGCCTCTGAGGCCTGCTCTTCATGCAAGGCAGGTCCAGAGGGTAAGGCAGGCAAGAGTTTGTCAAGGTCATACAGAGGCATATTACATCCTTTTAATGGAAGGGTTTTTTTTAAGCCCACAAGCTTATCTTGTTCCTCTCCGCTCCCCAGGTGGCTGTATGAGGGCCTGAGCCGAGAGAGAGCTGAGGAACTACTCTTGTTGCCTGGGAACCCTGGAGGGGCCTTCCTTATCAGAGAGAGCCAGACCAGGAGAGGTGAGTAAACTCAGCTCCACAGTTCTCCATAGTGGGGCTCAGGATAGACTCCTAGCAGTCAACAGACATTTCTTGAGTCCATCCAGACCCTGACTGGAAAAGGCCCTGAGGTAGAGCCAGGCTATAAGGGCAAAGCAAAGTCAGTTTACCTGGAGCAATCAAAGGGAGCCTTTGTGGAGTGGGTACCTAGGCTTGGAGCTGAGCCACATTGCTTTCCTGAGGGTCCTTGGACAACAGAGCAAAGCGGGTAGGAATTCACTGAAGGGATCCAAGCTTAGTCTCTATTTTGACAACTGAGATTGCTGGGCTTTTAATCCCAAGCACTCAGAGACAGGTGACTCTCTTGAGTTCAAGACCAGCCTGGTCTACATAGTGAGATCCAGGACAGCCAGAGCTGTTATACAGAGAAACCCTGTCTTGAAAAACAAAACAAGCTGGGCGTTGGTGGCGCACACCTTTAATCCCAGCACTCGGGAGGCAGAGGCAGGTGGATCTCTGTAAGTTTGAGGCCAGCCTGGTCTACTGAGCTAGTTCCAGGACAGCCTCCAAAACAATACAGAGAAACCCTGTCTCAAAAAACAAAAACAAAAAGAAAGAAATAAAAACAAAACACAAACAAACAAAAAACCACCTGGAATTTGCTCTAACCAGCAGTGGTGATCCCTTTTTTATAAGACAGGACATGATATGATCTCTTGGCAAATGTTCATTGCAAGCCAGGCACCCAAGACCTCCAGGGTCAAAAATAGGTTTTCTAGTGACAGTCTATGGAGGAGATACTGGAGTGCAGACAGCCCTCCTGTGTCTGCCTAACTGAGCTTTCTGGATGGGCTGTCGGGGTCCTCGCTGTGTACCCGCATTCTGCATGCATTTTGCTCAGGAGCTTCCTAGACCAGCCTTTCCCCAGCCCCTCTTGCTAGTTTCCAAGAAACATAACCCCTCACCCTCATGAACACCCACTGGCCGGCTGCGGCCGGGGTGGAGCAGCTGGTTCCAGGGCAGCAGCTGCAAACAGGAAACCTTGGTGGTGGCGACTGCGACAGGAGGCCTGCTGACCTACCTACCACTGGTGAGATAGAAAAGCCACAGAAAGTACTCAGCACTTAGTCACCCACCCCACCCCAGGCCCAGTGCAGTCCAAGAGTGTAGTGACCACCCTTTGTGTCATTATTCTGCTCTCTTGATTACGAAGGAGTACATACACGGGAAATTCATGGAGAAGCCAAGAGGGATTTGTGAGGATCTTCAAGGACCTAGAGGGATCCACAGGAATTCTGGGACCAGCATCCCTGTTGCCAGCACCTAGTAGGGGTCAATCAGAAAGCAACTCTTGTCAGACCCTGAGTTAGAGCACTTCAGTGTGTGCCAGTAACCCTAGCACTTGGGAGACAGGCCCTGGAGGAGCAAGCGTTCAGTTACTTTCAGCTGCATAGAGTTCAAGACATAGGTGTTCTTCATGAGACCGTCTCAATGAAGCTGGGAGTGGTGGTGCACTAATTCCAGCACTCAAAAGGACAGGCAGAAGGATTGCCTAGGAGTTCAAGACCAACCTGGGCTAGTAGTGAGTTCCAGGCTAGCCAGAGGTACAGAGTAAGACCCTCATCTACAAAATAAAAAAACAAAATGCAGAGGGGCTGGGAGATGCCTCAAAGTGTGTGCAAACAATTGTGAGGTCCTGAGTTCAACCCCAGCACCCATGTACAAAGTCTGGCATGGTGGTGTATTGTTGGGGAAGTCTTATGTTAATAAAGTACTGTCTGGCCAATAGGAATCTAGATAGGTGGGGCTAGGAGTCCAGGAGGATTCTGGGAAGGAGAAAGGAGAGAGTTCGAGATGTAACCGCCATTGGGGTAGGAAGCCTGGAACCTCCCTGGTAAGAAACATACTTAGATTAACAATTATGGGGTAATTACTTAAGTCAGAGCTAGCCAGTTAGAAACAAGCAAGGCCAACAGCTTCATAATTAATATAGCCTCCTGTGTGTTTATTTGGGACTCGTGCGGATCTAGAACCAGGCTGGCGCGGCAGAGCCCAGGCGACTGGCGGGGGATAAACCAAAGCGGCTAGCAAAAGAAAAAGCTTCTCTTAACAGTGTATGTGTGTAATCTCAGTACTAGGGATGCAGGACAGGAGGATCCCTGGGCTTTCTAGTTACACATACAAAACAAACAAAAACTTCCCATGCTGACCTTGTAGAATGGGTGTCTCCCAGGCATGACTACAGCCTCTACTCAAGGCTTCCTTTGGACAGAAGTTGAAGGGCATACTCTACATAGCCTGGGCAAAGAAATGGCTTTAGTTCATTCTTTTTTTTTTTTTTTTTTTTTTTTTTTTTTTGGTTTTTCGAGACAGGGTTTCTCTGTATTGTTTTTTGGACCATGTCCTGGAACTCGCTCTGTAAACCAGGCTGGTCTCGAACTCACAGAGATCCGCCTGCCTCTGCCTCCCGAGTGCTGGGATTAAAGGCAAGCACCACCACCGCCCGGCTTTAGTTCATTCTTATAGACCCATGGGTCTCTGTCCATGGAAGCAACAGAATTGCCTGCAGGGCAACTACCCCACACCCAACATGCTAAGTCTGGGGCCAGGGCTAACCGTGCTTCTCTCTTATGCTGCTGGCCTGAGGAGCTCGCTTAGAGAGCTAGACCTTAGCTGTACATTGGAGTCACCTGGGAGAAGCCTGTAACATGGATGCCTGCACACCAAGCTCGAGCTTCTGATTTAACTGGTCAGGAATGTGTCCTAGGGTCTGGAAGAATGCCGTGGGTGAGACTCCTCATTAGAGAGGGCATGTTCATAGTGAAGGAGAGCGAGAAACCCAGCGTGTGCTGGAGTCAGGAGGACTGGGGGGGTCAGACCTGCTTCAGACACTTCAGTGAGTCTATCTTGGGTGACTGAATTTGTTTGTTTTCCAAGACAGGGTTTCTCTGTATTGCTTGGGAGCCTATTCTGACACTCACTCTGTAGACCAGGCTGGCCTCGAACTCACAGAGATCCTCCTGCCTCTGCCTCGTGAGTGCTGGGATTAAAGGTGTGCACCACCACCACCCAGTCATGAATGTTTATTCTTTGGTTCCTGGGCCATAACCAAAATTGATACTAAGTTCTAGGGTCCAGAGTGATGCCATAGAGTGCCAGTTCTCTGATCTTAATGCACAGGAGTCACTGGGATGCTCTGGACTTGGTGACAGTGCCAGTTCATGCCACCACAGACCTACTGGGGGTGGAGGCCAGAAATCTGCCTCCCTCTCTAGGTAGTTCTCTGTTCTTTCAAAGTGGCAGAGGAAAACCCAGAAGGAAGTAATAGAGAAGTCATGTTGCCTGTAGGTCAGTGGCGTATGTGTGTGTGTGTGTGGGGGCGGCACATGACACTTGCATTTTTTATATCCTGTGAATTTTGTCACATATGACGTTGTAATCACTGGCTGGGTGACATCAGGATTATCTTCTCTCCTCTTTTTCTGCAGTACTGAGTATGGAACCCATACCTCAGATACTTTTGGAGACAGTGTCTCACTAAGTTCTTCAGGCTGGCTTTGCATTCATTCTGTAGCCCAAGCAGGCCTTTTTTTTTTGCTTCTTTATTTTTTGTTTTTTGAGACAGGGTTTCTCTGTATTGTTTTGGAGGCTGTTCTGGAACTCATTCTGTAGACCAGGCTGGCCTCAAATTCACAGAGATCCGCCTGCCTCTGCCTCCCGAGTGCTGGGATTAAAGGCGTGCGCCACCACCGCCTGGCCCAGGCAGGCCTTGTGATGTTCCAACCTCCTTCTAAGTAGTCCAGGATCAGCCAGGACCCAGAGTCCAGGGTAGCACTGAGGCTGGGATTTCAGAGGGGTGGAGCCTGTGTGGCCCAGGGAAAGCCTGCAGCCCCGAGTTCTCCAGAACACCCTCAGCCGCCTCACATCAGCTCAGAGTTCCTCTAGCTGCCTTGATCACGCTTTAGGCCTGGGCAGAGCTGGAGTTGGCCCCAAAGTATTGCTTTATGAAGGAGGTCCTAAAAACTGCACAGACCACAGTTCTGCTCCTGAGAGCTGTGCCGGAGTGAGGACAGGTTCCAGCAAGCAGCGTTCCTTCCTGCCCCTGCTGTCACCCTGAGCCCCCTGTTGGATTCAGTGAGGGAGATGTGTGAGCAAGATGCGGCTCCTCCACCCAGGGGCTCAGCTCTGCTCACTCTCGGGTGGGCAGCACTTCCCCGGTGCGGGCCGAGCCACACTTTGCACTCTGGCTCCCAGTCTCTGGCTGCAGGTAGAAGGGCCTAGGGCTCAGCATCTCTTAGGCCATTGCTCCTAGGTGCCCTCAGTAGAGGAAGTGCAGGCCAGGCCTGCCAGGCATTTCCCCAGGTAGATCCTGATGGCATCCCTTACTTCCTCCAGCACCGGTGGAATGCCCAGCCCCAGAAGTTCTGGGCATGAATGCTTAGGCCTGCTAGAGCATCCAGGAGTCCAGGAGCACGCACGCTGCCTTTGGTCTGGGAGGTTCCCCTCTAGACCCGCTGTGCCTCTAGCTCCACTGCCTACCAGCTATTCTGAGAATATGCCTCATTTTTTCCCATTCCACTTCCTGATGTGTCCCACAGCCTGGAAAGCACCCCCACCCCCCTCCCCCGCCAACATCTTGAACAGTCCTCCCCCTGCCGCTGCAGTGAACTGACTCCTTGTAACAAAACTGAAAGCTCTATGAGAACAATGGAGCTCACTGTCCAGTGAGGACCATCAAGGACAACCCCTGTGAGGAGATGGGCGGGCAGTTGCTTGTATCCCTTATACCTATATCTGGGCCTGTGCAGTGTCTGCTGTGTAGTAGGGGCTCAGCTGATGTTTTTGGAGAAATGAGTCTGCCTGGGTAGGCAGGATAGGGAGCTGGAGTAAAGTGCCTCCCAGACAGGAAGGAGAGGGACATGTTTAATACCAGACTGCCAAAAACAGGCCTCCCACACCACCTGCTCCCCATACCCATTCACCCAGCTGGGCCTGTGTGCACCTTCAGCAAGCATCTGGCTCCAGAAGGGCCCTCTAGATCCATGGCCAATGGGGCAAATGTTCAATGTGTTTTCTACAAGAAATGCAAGGGTAATTAAGTCTTCAAATGGCTCACTATAATTTTAGCACTGGGAGGCTGAGGCAGGGGGAGCACAGTTTAAGGCCAGATTCAGCTACATAGTGAGCCTCTGTCAAATAAACCAAACCAAAACAACCAATTAATCAGCCAATAGCACACCCAAGACCCAGGCTATGAAAAGCAAGATCCCAGTCATTCTCAATGGCCAGTGGACGGTGAACATATGGAAGAACGTGCCCAGCACATAGAGTGGAGGTGAGGGTGTGTCTGTGGTTTGTGTGCTTGTGCCTGGAGGAAGGGCTTCTTAGTCTAGAGCCGGTGGGACGAGAGCAGGTCCAAGGAGAGGTCGGATTCTGCAGAGCCTCTCAAAGGTGATGAGGGCTTTATCATGTGATTGGGAGGACTCCAGAGAGGAGTGACCCACTGCTGTGTGACAAACTGGAAGTGGGAAGCCACAGGGAAACATTCACAAGCTCTGCCTAGCTGAGATGTGGTTAGATTCTAGGTGTGCTCTGAACATAGCCAGTAGGGCTTTTTGTTTTGTTTTTCGAGACAGGGTTTCTCTGTCTTGTTTTGGAGACGGTCCTGGAACTCTCTCTGTAGATCAGGCTGGCCTCGAACTCACAGAGATCCGCCTGCCTCTGCCTCCCCAGTGCTGGGATCAAAGGCGTGGGTCACCAACGCCGGCCCATGGCAACTCTTATAAAGGAAAACATTTAACTGTGGCTGGCTTACAGGTTCAGAGGTTTAGTCCATTATTGTCATGGTGGGAAACATGGCTGCATATACAGGCAGCTATGGTGCTGGAGAGGTGGCTGAGAGTTCTACAACTGGGTTGGCTGGCAGCAGGGAGAGAGACTCTAGGTGTGGCACGAGCATTTGAAACCCCAAAGCCCACCCTCAGTGACACACTTCCTCCAACAAGGCCACACCTATCCTAACAAGGTAAAACCTAATAGTGCCACTCCTCAGTCATTCAAATATGAGCCTATAGGGGGCGTTGCTATTCAAACTACAAAGAACAGCAGGGACTGGAGTACAGAAAATACTCACTGGGAGCTTGCTGCATTCCAAGCATGGCTTGCCACCTGAATGCTCACAGCTGTTGAGATCAGGGTAATCATTAGCTCCCTTCACCAGTTTAAAAAAAAAAAGACCTGTGTGGCCAGGTGGTGTAGGTGGCAGGGGTACTATTGAATGTGACTGTGTGAGACTGAAACCCAGGCAGCCTGCATTATAAAACATGTCTTGGAACTGGCGGAGTGCAGCAGTTCCTTAGGGTTGGCCTTAGTTTTTATTTTATTTTTGAGGCAGTCTTACTATGTAACCCTGGTTAGCTTGGAACTCATTACACAGCTCAGGCCGACTTTGAGCCACTGCCTCTTCAAAACCTTGTGTCCCCATGCAACACCCTTGGCTGTTTGTAAACTTCATAGTTATATCAAATGTATACTCTCTGATTTTTGCTGCTCAGTCTTTAGTTTTTTTGAGAAGGTCTGATACAGCTAAGGTTGGCCTCAAACTTAGCATCAACCAAGGAGGGCCTTGAACTCTATCCTCCTGCCTCTATCCACCTTCCAAGTGCTGGGATTACAGGTACGAATCAGCACGCTCTGCTACATAATTAGCATTGCATTCTATAAGGCACCATATGTGTGAGATAATGGGACTACCCTGGGCCACCCTCTGCACTGTTGTACTATTGAGCTCAAACGGGCTGTTTGTGAATGCAGTGTCTATTGAAAGCATGCTGTTCTCCCCTTCTAGGAGATGGGACTGCTGGGTTTGAAGGAATAACTCAACTGTTAATGCCAGACTGTTTCCAAAGTGGCTTTCTCTCTATGGCCCATGCTGTATCTACTGACACATCTTCACATCCCAACCCTTCTGCCCTGAGTGCTCATCTATACAGCCAATATTATGCTCACTCACACCTCACCCATCCTGAGAACCATAGACATCTATCTATTACAGCAAATTATCTGTCCTGCCTTTGACCTGAACACCTCCCTGAAGGCTGGGCTAGGCCTCCAGCAGGACCTCACATCTATCCCTGGACCCTTTCCTCCTCAGGCTGCTATTCCCTGTCCATCCGACTCAGCCGCCCGGCGTCTTGGGACCGAATCAGACACTACAGGATACAGTGCCTTGACAATGGCTGGCTGTACATCTCACCACGCCTCACTTTCCCCTCACTCCAGGCCCTGGTGGACCACTACTCTGGTATGGCTCACTTTCCTTCCTTCCTTCCTTCCTTCCTTCCTTCCTTCCTTCCTTCCTTCCTTCCTTCTCGCCTCCACAGTAGGCTGGATGAAGGGCCTAGGCGGGTAGCCAGTTGTGCCCTTAGAACCTTGACCTGCTGGGACTATCTAGACAGAAGAGGCACACCCTCTGCCCTTATGCAGTCACTGTGCTGAGATGTGGGTGAGAGCTTTTCTCATCCCGTGCTAACTAGAGGCCAACTGCTGGTGTTCTCTTCAGGGGAACCAGATTGTGCTGTTCCTGGGTGCAATTTTTAGCATTTCTGATACCTACCCTATAACCAAGACAGCGTCAAGGAGACAAGGAAAACCTCACTAGGCATGGTGGTGCACACCTTTAATCCCAGCACTTGGGAGGCAGAGGCAAGCAGATCTCTGAGTTCAAGACCAGCCTGGGTTTAGAATAGCCAGGGATACAGAGAAACCCTGTTTCAAAAAACAAAGCCAATAACAAAGAAAGTTAAAAAGAGGTGGGGAGTGGGGAGGAGGGGCACCTCTTAGAAAGTTGACTAGGGATTTCTACAAAGTGGTTCTCCACAGTAGATGATTGGGCCACAGGCTGGCCACCCAGCTTGCTTTTCTTCTCAGAATTACATGGAGCTACATATTACATAACTTAGCCCCCTCTGAACTTTTGCTGTATCTCAGCCTGTGTGAGACTTCACTTCCTATTATATTTTGGTGACCATGTCCCCAAAGTGCAAAGCACAGAAAACTGACAGGACAAGTATCACATCAAAGGTTTGGGTCTCTTCCATAGAGCTGGCGGATGACATCTGCTGTGTCCTCAAGGAGCCCTGTGTCCTGCAAAAGCTTGGTCCACTACCTGGCAAAGATATACCTCTACCCATGACTGTGAAGGCAGCAGCACTCAATTGGAAAGAGCTGGATAGGTAAGGGGGGGTCCTGGAAACATAAAGGCAGAACAAACCGTGGACTTCCAACCCAGATTGGGCCTGTTACATCCAGGCACACCTTCTAGAGCCCAGCCCCGGCTTGATTAGTGGTGAGGACAAGGCAGTATCAGGGAAAAGGTAAGCATGGACCTCAGGGCAGCTAGGGTGAGAGGGGGGATGGAGTGAGTGGGTGGACAGAGTAGGAGGGAAGTCAAGACTAAGTTAGATCAGCTGAGAATGAGGAGCCGAGTTTGTCAGCAGGAATAGCAGTGCTGTTCTAAGGGTAGTGACCTGTGTGGCAAGCACAGAAGTGGCCCCTTACCCGCTTTCCTCACCCACAGCACCCTGGTTTTGGAAGCACCTGCCAGTGGGGAGGCATCTCTTCTCAGTGAGGGGCTCCGAGAATCTCTCAGTTCCTACATCAGCCTGACTGAGGATAACTCCTTGGATGATGCCTAGTCCAAGCACAAAGTGAAAGGTACACCAAGGCCATGTCACCTAAGACTCCAACTCAGCCGAACCTGATGCAGCAGCTTAGAGGCAAGGCTATGAATGCAGGGAGGGTTGGGCTGGGAGGCAGGCACATCCAGGGTCCCACCTGGACCTTCTGCCCCGGCCTCTCTAGACTGTAAGAAGTCATTTATCTCCTCCCAAGGCCTTCAACTTCTAGTCCATGTGCAGTGCAGCTCAAAGCAGGGGCAAGCCTCTACAGAGAACAAATTACTTCTGATGTTTGCTAAGTCAGTCCCCGAGAGGATGTCCAGCAGCATTGCTGTGTTCCATCCCCCGTTATGACTGCTCACCAGCCCTACTAAGAAGCAGATCCCCACTAGCATGGAGACAGAGAAAAAATACTAGAGAAATTTACAAGACTCATTAAGAAGGCAAGCACACCTCAGATAGCAGGATGGCTCAGAAAGCAAAGACAAGCAGAGCATCTGATGGCCAACCACAGCAGCCCCCACCTCATCCCAAGTAGAGCAAGATCAACCATCTAGATCTTCTATGATCCCTCACATCAAGTTCCTTTTTCCACAGCCCAGCTCTCAGATCTCTACTTAGCGTTCACCCAAATACAGCCCAGTCATACCCCACCCAGTCTCGCCATCTGGTGGCCAAACACAAAATGACACCATTTAAGTCTCTCATTGTAGACCAGTGCTGGGCCAGAACATCAGACAGTAGACCCTCTACTCTCTCTGCAATGTTAAAACCAAGGCACTAACTATCACCAGCTCCAGCCCCTCATTTCCCTGACAGCCAAAAAGAGAAAGAGGCCTGGCCGAAGCCGTTATGGGAGCAGAGAGAGGGAGGGGGAAGGAGGGAGCTCTGCCCGATACTGGTCCTAGGTTCCGAGGGTACAGGTGTGTAAGTGAGGCTTTAGTTTACCAGGCATGTCAACACTTTCAGCTAGACTTGTTTATTCAAGTATGCGAAAACACTCTACAGTGGAAACTTATTAGACGGCTGCCCGTATTGTGCAAAGGCTCACGCACATGGTGTTTTCAGAAGACTTGAGATGCCAATGATAGTTTAAAAACTGTGCACCTGACGGAGAACTAAGGAAGACAATTTCATGTTTCATCCGGATCCAGAGGCCATTAGATTAGACAGCAGCTCCACTTGGCAAACAGCTGTTACAGAGGCGCATAAAATTAGACAGCAGCTCCACTTGGCAAATAGCCATTACATGATGGTGTCCAAGAAAAAATGGTCGGTGATGAACAAATTCACAACTGTTTCCCCAAAGGTAGATGGTTCTTTGAGAAGTTTCACAACCCTTGTAGAAAACACCGATGCCCAATACGATGATTCTAAGTCCAAGAGACATGGGTCTTCTCAGTACCACGTGGCAGGAGTGCCCCAACAAGCATGTATCTGTGCTGTAATAAAAAGGTCCTTTGGATTGGACAGAAGAGATGGGAGCAAATGCCATCAGTCATAGTGGATGGCAGTGTAAAAGATGATCCAAATGACCTAGGGGAGACACAAGCAATTCATGTTGTCACCTGAATCAACACAGCCCTCCCCCATGAAAATGGCACTGCCTAAATCTGAAGTCTCCAGGGTACTCAAAGAGTAAGCATTGTTAATCCCAAAACATCCTATCAAAGAGAAGGCCTGTTCCCACGGTCACTTATCATTTCCCAGTTCTCCCTCTCTCAGCTACTGGCAACCACTAACCTACTTTCTGTCTCCATGGTCCTGCATATTCTGAACATTTCACTAAGTGGAATCATGTAGCCTTTTATGTCTAGATTCTTCCACTTAGCATGTTTTTAAGGCTCACCTTTATTGCAATACCACAGAAAGTATGTTTTACTGTATGGATATAAAACATTTTACACTTCAGATGACAGCCATGTGAGTGGTTTACTTTTTCCTATTAAGAATAATGCAGATATTGTACATACACATATCTATCTACATCTTTGGTTTTTCCTTCTGGGGATAAGGTCTCTCTATGTAGTCCAATCTGAATTCAAACTTATAATCCACCCTGCTGGTATTATAGTTGTGAATGACCACACCCAGCTCTACAAATATGTATTACAACATTTCCCAGTTTCTAGTATGTAGCTGATTGTGGGCCCTGGATTTACACAAACGTACAGCACCCCAAACCACATCTTTTGGAGGACCTGCTCAAGGGGCTACTGAAGAGAATAGCAGCACAACAACATAGCATAAGTCAACAAATGTGCTCCCCGAGTGGCTGGCATCTCAGAAAAGGAATGGAGGCTGTTGTAACCACCAGCGGCACATACCATGAACAAGGCAAACGATGTCATGAACCCTTCTTTGGTGAGCTCCCACGTGCCACCATACTCTTCTTCGTCAATTTGTAGGTAGTTGCTGAAGTAGAGATACAGGACTCCTGCATTGATCAGGCAGAATCTGGAGGGAGGTGGATAAGCACCAAACACAAACCCTAAGCTTTGTGCTGCAAGCTCTCCCAGCCCTGTTAGGGAGATGATTCTAGTTCATTCTTATTATTCTCCTTCTCAACCCCCTCCCCATTTTCCAAGACAGGGTTTCTCTGTGTAACCCTTAGCAGTCCTGGAACTCTGTAGACCAGAACTCACAGAGATCCTCCTGCCTCAGCTTCCCAAGTGCTGGGATCAAAGGCATGGGGCACCACTGCACCGCCCCCCAACTTAACCAGTTTATTCGTTGCTTATGTGTATTGTTGTCTCCCCACCCAGGCAGGGGATGACCTGGAGAGAGAAGCTCTTAGCTTAGGAAAACAGGCTCAATTTGTTTACTTCATTGTTATGAGCTTCGTGCAAGTCTCTCCAGAGGGACCTCAAGTACACTAAATTTCAGCCTCCTTGAAAAAAATCAGAATGGCTACAATGACACCTCAAACAGACCAAAATAAAAGAGCAAATGTATCTTGGGGATGAGCATATCACAGAAGACGCAATTAGTGCCAAAGGCTTTCTAAACCCAATGGCCTGGGAGTTCTTGGGATTTCAAGGAAACATGGTTCTGTGTTTTTTTTTTTTTTTTTTTTCTTCCTTTCTCAAGACAGGGTTTCTCTGTGTAACAACTCTGGCTGTCCTGGCACTCACTCTGTAGACCAGGTTGGCCTTGAACTCACAGAAAAAACGCCTGCCGCCTGTCTTTGCCTCCCACGTGCTGGGATTAAAGGCATTAGCCACCACTGTCCCGTGGAAACATGGTTCTTGACTATGTTGTAGCCACATCCTTATCTCCTGCCAGGAACCTTGGCACTTGGTCAAACCTGGCCACCTGCTCTACTCAAAAGGACCTTTATTTTAGACAGGCTGACTTACTGGCTCTAGCTGGAGACTAATGAGGGGAGTCAGAACTGATACTGGGAAGCTAAGACAATAAACTGATGCTGGACATGGTAACTCATGTCTGTAATCCAGCAGTTAGGTGAGGCAAGGATTGCCAGAAGTTCAGGGCACCTTGAGCAGATAAATGTACATGCAGATAAAACATCCATATACATTTAAAAAGATGCTGGGTAGTAGCAGTGCAAGTAGATCTCTGTGAGTTCTCTGTGAACTGAGCTGAGAGACCCAGAGGTGGGTCTTCAGTGCAAAACCTCAGCAGATGGAAGAGCTGTCAGCCAGTTCTTAGGCAAATTACAACTAGGACACATGAAAAGTTCTACTGTAACTGATGTCCATAACACAATGAAATAAAGCAAGATGGGACTTGGTCAGAGGAGGGCAGCTAACAGTTACTGGAGAGAGGAAATTCACTAGAAATGAGCACCAGGAAGTCATGCCCAAAGCAAGGGAAGTTGGAGAAGGGTTAAGGAAAAATAACAAAATCAAAGCTCTTAGCTTTTCCAACAGCAGGGGGAAAGTGCCAACCCAAAAGAAGGTAGGGTTTGTCCAGAGTGGAAAACTGGCTGTGGTGAGTGAATCCAGAAACAGGCATCTCTGGAACAGTGGCACCACACACTGGGCGAGCCAGTCCAAAGTGCACTCAGTGTCTTGTTCTCTCAGCCACATTTTACCATTCTTCATATATCTAACCATGTAACAATAGCAGCGAACCGACTCATGGAATGCCTGATGAGCAGAGGTCTACATTTAGCAACTTACTTACATCATCCCATTTAACTCACCTGTCAGTCACTTTCCTGTCCTCGTTTTACTGATAAGGAAACTGATCTTGGGTAAGCCCAAGATTATAAAGCTTCAATGGAGCAGACCTAGAGAACTCAGAACACAGTTTTCTAGGAAGTGGGTTTTTGTGTGTGTGGTTTTTGTTTTTCAAGACAGGGTTTCTCTCTATTCTCTTAGCTATTTTTGGCTGTCCTGGAACTCATAGGGATTCACCTGCCTCTGCCTCCAGAGTGCTGGTATTAAAAGCCTGAACCACCACCTAAAATGCTTTTTTTGAGACAGTCTTATTCCATATCCCTTGCTGACTGGCCAGAAACTCACATGGTCTAACTCATGAGAACTTGTCTCAGCTTCCCAGGCAGAAAGATTACAGGCATGCACCATCATGCCCATTATTAGAGACATGCAATTGGTTGTGGGTATCCGTTGAGGGTCTTGAAATAGATCTGTCAACAGGAGGGACTACTATCTATTTCTTTTGGGCTGCTACTGTTCAAGAAATGACCCAACTGTTTCTGAAACATACTCCTCACCCCCTAAAGGAACTAGTAAGATATCCCATTAGCTCTCAAACAGCCAGCATGGCTTTCCAGGGGCAGGGTGAGACACAGGAATGCTCACTTGTATTCCTGTGTGAAGAGACAAGGCAAGCCTTCTCACTTCTAGAAGAGTTTGCTCACAGTTCCTGCTCAGGAGTTTTAAGCCCTTTAAATGCAGTTTCATGGGCTTGCTTTCAGTAACTCGATACACTAAACCATGTATGAGCAGGTGTCAAGGATGTTGCCACTGGCCAGGAGTGAATTAAAATGTGCAAGACTAAGCCTCTTACTTGGGGTGGGGGTGAGGGTAGTGCTTTTAAAATGTAGGAACCTGAAAATAACTCCTGCCAAAGCCAAGAGCTGGTACATCAGTAAAATACAAAGCACAAAAAGAAAGCCATCAACTACAAAGCTATTCTACTTCCTAAACTTCCACAGGTACCAAGGTCAGGCCATAATTAAGAATACTTGCTGCTTCGGGCAGTAGTGGTGCATGCCTTTAATCACAGGGTTTGGGAGGCAGAGGCAGGAGGATCTCTGAGTTGGAGGTCAGCCTTGTCTACAGAGTAAGTTCCAGGACAGCCAAGGCTACACAGAGAAATCCTGTCTCGAAAACCCAGACAGAATACTTGTTGCCAATAAGCAGTAGGATAACCACTTGCAAGGAGTCACATTAGACCCATGAATGAATAGACTGGCCCAGTCTTCAGGACAGCAGCCTGACATGAGATGCTCCTGGGCCTGAGAGCTAAGGAACATTGCATCAGGCCTATGAGTGCTAAGGATGACTTCTTCACTTTAGTAATAAGATCAACAGCAATTGGAAAGTAGGGGAGAGAGGATCAGGAGTGTGGGACACTCAAGACTTACCCTGCTATTCCCAAGAAGCCTCGCAAGGGCACGATGCCCCAAATGACACCCAAGACCACAGCAATAATCTGTCGGAACCAGTAGATCACATCTAAAAATTCATCCTATGAAAGAGACACATGTATGCATTATCTGGAGTGGCTGCCACAGGACAGCTATAGGTGAAGAAACAAAAGCTTACTAAGTCTTATTAAGATTTCCTTTTTTTCCTCCCACAAGACATTCTCACTATGTAGCCCTGGTCAGCCTGGAACCTGCTATGAAATCCAGGTCTTGGCTGTAGGGTGCTGGATCAAAGATGTGTGCCACTGCGTCCAGCTTAGTATGTGGTTCTTTTCTGGTTTGTCCAGTTCACTCTGTATGTATCATGTTTTGCCTGAATGTATGCATGCGTACCACACACGTGTCTGCTGCCCATGGATGTTGGCTGGAGGATGTGGATGGAGGAGGTTGCTGGATTCCCCGAAGTTACTGATGGTTGTGAGCCACCTTGTGGGTGCTGGGCAGCAAACTCAGGTCCTCTGCAGAAGTAAGTAGTACGCTAAACGGCTGAGCCATCTCTTTAGCCCCCATATGTGGTTCTTATGTCATCATTTCTACTAAAGTGTGGTGGAAAACAATGTACTTAGACATGAGGTGATCAGGGAAACCATGGCTTCTTTAAATTGCCCTGGACTTCAAACGCCAGTCCTTGGATCAGAGAAGAAAATAAAAAATGACACAGCAGATCACAAAGACACTGCAGGTTTTGCAAGAGCTGGGCAGGGCTGGGGGCAGGCCAAGGGCACCTTCAGGAAGTGCTTCCCATCCCCCTATACGGAACTGAAGGAAGGAAAGCCCAACTTCAACAGTCCGAACAAAGAAAGGATTCCAAATATAACATTCTTTTCAAACTATCTGGAATCTGCAGGGCGACAGTCTTTGAGATCACAGACAGAGCAAAGGGGAAGCGTCCACGCTCAGATCCTCTGAAGGCGAGCAGCGAGAGCCTCTTGAAGTCCCCAACCACTTTTTGTTATCCACATCTGACGACATTTCTTCCCCCCACACACCGTCCTAAGGTGGTCTCAGACCCGGGCTCTCGAATCTTAAGCTCATGGGGCATCTCGTTTTTTGATCTAATCAGGCAAGGGCAGGGCCACCCTTCCCAATGTGCAAACTAAACCCACTTCGGGGATTCCGCACCCGGCACGCGCGCGGTCTTCAGACGCTCTAACTACTCCGGATCCCGCGGAGTAAACGGCGGGGACGACGGGAGCTCCGCTCGCTCCGGCCCGCACTCGCCGCGTTCGCGAGGCCAGGTGGCTTCCCTTTCCGTCAGGCGGGCGGCCAGGCCCGCGCCCGTCCACTGCGCGCCGGCACCCTCGCCACCCGCCCTCGCCGGGCCTTCCTCACCTTGTCGTCCCAGGCCGCGTCGCTCCGCAGCACCTTGCTCCACACGGACACCTTGAGGGCCCCGTTGGCCAGCTGCGGCTGAGGCGGCTCCTCCTTCCGCCGCCCGCCGCTCATCCTCCCGTCGCGCCGCCCGAGTCGGGCCTGGGGCGCGCGGGCCGAGCCAAAAGGAGTCGGAGTCTGGGGTGGCGGGTCTCGGCGCGCGAGGCGGCAGCGACAGTCTAGGTAATAAGGTCCCGAGGCACGCCAAGGAACCTCTCGATCGGCCAAGCCGCCGGCTCCCTGGCTCCACGGAGCAGGCGCCGCGGAGGGAGGGGCGTGCTCTTACGTCACATGCACGCAGCCAATCGGCAGCCACGCAGCAGCCGGCCCAAAAGCTCGGCGACGCCTCGGCGCAAGCGCCTTCCGCTGGGCGGAAGTGACGGAAAGCTTCAATCTGGCGCTAGGTAGGGTGAGCGAGAAGGGACAAGTGCAGCGCTGAGGCGACCTTAGCTGGAGGAGGCGCTGTATAGACTGAGGAGCAGTCGCTCGGAGGAAAACCAAGGTTTGACATTGCTGTGTCCGAGCGGCGGCCCTTCCCCTTCAGCGACAAGTAGAAGTGGCCTTGCAACCTGCTCGCCTACAGAGCCAGGTCCTTGGTCCCCCGGAGCTCCAGACTGCCCCACTGGAATTAGCGTCTGTGCATTTTGTTCTAAACCTACGAGTATTCAAGACTTTGTTCACAATGTTAACTCATCCATCGTCATGACTATGGAAGAAATAAAGTTACCTCACGTGGCGATGGCTCAAGTCTATCTACCGTTTGGAGAATGGTGAGTCCCAAGCCACGTCAACCTGGGCTATATAGCAGATCCTGTCTCAAAAGAAAAAAACATTTTTTTTCCTGTATAACTTAATGACTCAGCTTGCCCAGCATCCTCTTCTGACAAATGCGAGGCTAAGATCCCAAGAGAAAAAAAATTCTTTTCTAAGGATAAGGCAAGTTTGAACCAATGGAGAATTTCGCTAGGGGAAATAGAATGGTAGATGTCATTATACCTATTGCATCCTCACTGTGTGTTGTTAGTGTTTCTCAGAGTTTGGGACGGCCAGAAGTAGTTGCACCATCTGCGAACTTGTACAGAGGTACAAATTCTGGGGCCTCCCATGCCGTGGTGGTGCCTACTGGCTATTCCAGCCCAGGCAGGAGTTTTAGGCTGGCCTGGCTACATTGTAAGATCCTGTGTCACATCTAACCTGGGTTACATAGCAAGGATAGCATGGCATACAAAGTGAGAAATTCTGCTTCGCACAAACAAATGAACAAAAACTACTCCACCATCCAGGTGGTGCCATTCACAGTGTGTTATACTAAGCCTGCAGATCAAGGAACATCAATTCTATGCTGTGAGTTTATAGAGGCACAGTCTATTATCTGGATCTATTTGGTACTAAATCCATGTTTGTTTTTTTTTTACGTGCCTTTAAAAAATGTTTTTTTCTAGACAGTGTTTCTCTGTGTAGCCCTGGCTGTCCTGGAACTCTATAGACCAGGCTGGCCTCAAACTCACAAAGATCTGCCTGCCTCTGCCTAACGAGCGTAGAGTAACGAGCGCTGAGATTAAAGGTGTGAGCTACCACCACCTAGCCGCCCTCCCCCCTTTTTAAATACTTAATTTTACTCCCTAGTATGGGTGTCTGGCCTCGTTGTATGTCCTGCACCTTTTTGTGCGCCTGGTACCCAGAAAAGGTGGCATATCTCCTAGAACTGGGTTATAGGCAGTTGTGAGCTGTCATGTGGGTGCTGGGAATTGAACCTTCAAGAATTCTTAAGCACTGTGCCATCTTTCCAATTCCCTTTCTGTGTGTGTATGGGTGTGTGTATGTGTGTGTTGGATAGGATCTCACTCTGTAGTCCTTGGCTGGTCTGGAATTTGCTAGGTAGACCAGGCTAGCCTGAAACTTTCAGAAACCCACCTGCTTCTGACTTCCCAGGGTACTGATATTAAAAGCATGTCTCACTATGCCCAGCCTGTGTGTACTCTTTAAAGTTTATTTTTCCAGGTATTCTGGTCCATGACTTTAATTCCAGCACTCAGATGGCAGAAGCAGGTGAATTTCTGTGATTTCAAGACAGATATCTGTCTCATACCCTCCCCCAAGTTTATCTGTGTGTATGTTTGTGTGAGAGTGTGCATGCATGTGCAGATGTGTCCATGTGCTCATGGTTGGTGTAATTTGGAAGGTGGAGGCAGGAGGGTCAGGAGTTCAAGACTAGCCTTAGCTACAGCGTGAGATTCAATTGTTTTTAGGTAGTGCACGCCTTTAATTCCAGTACTTGAGAGGAGGAATTTGAGGAGTTTGAGGCCAGCCTGGTCTACATAATATGTTCAGGACAACCAGGGCTATATAAAGAGACCCTGTATAAAAAAAAACACACACACAACAAACAAGCAAAAAAAGCCAGAACCTCATTTTTTGTCTCCATCACACTTACCTGCAGTTGGGTCTTCTTCAGGTGTCCAACAGATTCAATTAGCAAGCTTGTCCCAATTTTCATAGTGGGTATTTTCTAACCCTGCCCCATCCCCTTTTTAAAACTTGAGAGAGGATCTCACTGTGCAGCTCTGGCTGGCCTGGGACTCTATCTGACCTAGAATTCACAGAGATCTACCTGCCTCTGACTCCCAAATCCTGGTTAAATGTTTGCTAAAGCATCCCTGGCTTCCAGGACCTTTCTTGAAGCAGAACCACCCTATGTATTTCTGGTTTGTTTTTTTCCCCCATGATCATGTTTCTCTGTGTAGTCCTGGCTGTCCTGGAACTCATTCTGTAGACCAGGCTGGCCTCGAACTCAGAGATCTACCTGCCTCTGTCTCTAGAGTCCTGGGATCAAAGATGTGGGCCACCATGCCCATCAATACCTTGAACTCTTTGTGTAGCCAAGGTTAGCCTCCTCCTTCAACCTCCTAAGTGAAGGGGTCCCAGGCCTGCAGCAGCAGAAAAGCTCATTGTAGTTTTGATGCATATCTTTGTAATGACCAGGAATGCTGAAAGTTTTCCCACCTGCACACTGACCTCATGTGTCTTTATTTGCCTGTTTTTTGGTTTATTTGTTGTCTGTTTTTTTAAATATAGCTATTAATACCAATTTGCACTCTTAACTGTTCTGTGGATTTATTCTTTTGATAATGTCACCTATTTAGTAACATGTTTTTCTTTGGTTTTGTTTTGAGACAAGGTTCTGATATGTAGACCAAGATAACCCTTGGGCTTGTTTTGTAGGTCCCAGGATTAAAGGCCTGTGCACTCATATAGAACAACTTGTTCACTGTACTTTGTGAACAGAGAAGGGGTCTTTCTATGTTTCCCAGTTTAGTCCCAAAGTTGTAGGCCCAAAGGGTCCTCCTGCTTCAGTCTCCCAGGTAATTGGGAGCACAGGTGAACAATTTCACAGTTATTGAAGTCTAACTTTTCAATTTTTCTTCTGCTGCCAGTATCTTTGGTGTCACATCCAAGTCTTCTGTTTCATGAGGATTTCTTATATTTTTCCTCCTAAGAGTTTCATAGGCTAAACTACTACACAGGTAATCCTTTTGTCTCAGCCTCCCTAGTGTTGGGTATGAAGCGCCAGTCCCAGGCTCCCCCCCTACCCCCCACCCCGTGAAACCCAGGGTCTAGCTACAACTTCACAGTCTATTTTTAGTTAATTTTTGTGCATGGGTTAAAGCTCCAATTCCATTCTTTTGTGGGTAGATTTTCAGTTTTTAGCACCATTTATTGAAGCAAATGTCTAGCTCCTTGTCCCCTCCCAAAAGTCTTTTCCACATTGGCCTCACACCCTTATTGAGAATAATCTATCTTTATACAAGCGAAGGTTGTATAGAACAGGGTTCTCTATTTTACTTTATTGGTCAAATATGTCAGTTTTTATGCCAGTGCCATATTTTTGTACTATAACTTTGTAGTTTTTTGGAATGACTTTATGCATGTATATGATTTATCTTGGTGATTTTCACTAATTACTCTCCCTCATCCTAGTCCCACTCCCTCTGAAACCATTTCTCCCTCAAACGACCACTCCTAGTTTTGAAAAGATTTTTGTTTATTTTTATTGTTTATTTATTTTGCCTGCACATATCTATAGCATATTAGTGTTCCGTGCCCATGGAAGCCTGAAGAGGGCGCCAGATTCCCTTGGAATTGAGTTGAGGTGTGGTTGTTGAGTATTAGCATGTAGGTGCAGCCTGTACTCTTTTAAAGTTTTTTTCTTTTCTTTTTTTTAATGACATGGTCCCACTTTGTAGCCTTAGCTGTCCTGGCACAAACTCTGTAGACCAGGCTAGCCTAGAACTCAGAGATCTACCTGCCTCTGCCTCCCAAGTGCTGGGATTAAAGGCAGTTTTAAAGAATTTAAATTAGTCATGCTGTGGTGCTCATGCCTTTAATTCCAGCACTCTGGAGGCAGAGGCAGGCAGATCTTTCAGTTCCATGCCAGCTGATCCACAGAGCAAGTTCCAGGACAGGCAGCACTACACAGAGAAACCCTGTCTTAAAAAACTAAAACCAAAAATAAATAAAAAGTAAAAAGTAAATTAAAAATTTTGATATGCTTTATATTTATTTGGGTGTGTATGTCAGAGTTCTCTCCTTTCACCATGGGGGACCAAAGTCAAGTTGTCAGATGTGGCAGCTTAAAGAACTTTTACCCACTGAACCAGCTTCAAGGTCCTCTGTAGGCTTTTCTACCTAACAGGTTGCATCACCTTTGAACACAGACTAACCTTTTTGTAAAATAAGGCAGGGTCTTATGTAGCCCAAGTTGGCCTTGAACTTGCTCTGTGACCAAGGATGACCTTGCATTTCTGATCCTCTTGCCTCTATACTCCAAGTGCCAGGATTACCAATATTTACCATCATACCTGGTTAGTTTTATGCAGGGATAGGGCTCAAACCCAGGACTTCTTCCTGAATGGTCTCTTCCAACAGGGCCATATTCCCAGCCTATTTATTCATTCATTTATTCATTTACTGAGACAAAGTTTCATGTAGTCCAGACTGCAAACTCATTGTAGCTGAGGATAGCTTTGAACTCTTGATCCTCTTGACCCATACAAGTATTACAGAATTGCACCACCACAATCCAGCCCTAAACTCCTATAGATAGCTTTTACAGGATCCCAGCACTGGGAAGGCAGAGGCAGGCAGATCTCTGTGAGTTTGAGGCCAGCCTGGTCTACAGAGTGAGTTCCAGGAGAGCCTCCAAAACAATACAGAGAAACCCTTTCTCGAAAAACCACACACACACACAAAAAAAAAGAAAAGAAAAAGAAAATAGTTTTTACAGGAAGGAAAGAAAATCCACAAACTCTTTGTGTTATAGATTGTGAAGTTCAATTTTATTTTATTTATTTAATTTTTTTCTTGGTTTTTCAAGACAGGGTTTCTCTGTATTGTTTTGGAGGCTATCCTGGAACTCACTCTGTAGGCCAGGCTGGCCTCGAACTCACAGAGATCCGCCTGCCTCTGCCTCCCGAGTGCTGGGATTAAAGGCGTGCCGCCACCAACGCCCGGCTGAAGTTCAATTTTAATTCTTAGATTTATCTGATTTTGTTTTTACAGGAATCAGGGACATTTTTGAAGGTTTGTGGTTGGATCTGGGATCCTGCCGTGTAGGTCAAGGTGACTAGCAAATTAGAGGTGAAGTAAGATGCTGGAAACCTGATCTGTGCTTCAGGTTTTTGGACGATGTCTAGCTGGCAACCCTGGTAAGGTATGTGACTAATGTGTGAGACTGACTGGTTCCTTTATGAATTCCCAAGGCTTTCTTATCTTAGGAAGTGAGGAATCTGGTTGAATCCCAGGACATCCATCTGGTTAAAATAAACATCTTGGGTGGTCTACGATGGAAAAGAACCTGATGAAGTCGGGTTTGGAGGTGGGAGACAGATTTGGAAACAGGGTACAGTTTGTCTTTGTGAGGTGTAGGGTTTTTTAAAGCTATCAAACACATGGCCTCAACTGTTAAGACGATTCCCTTCCCACTGATCTCCTGTGTCCCTGACAGCTGCTTGCAGCAAGGTTGTACAGCTGGCCTCATGTGTACACTGATGGATCACAGAAACCTGACATACCGTGGGGAAAGTGACTGCCTATGCTGTGTAATGGACAAAGACAGGGAAAGGAAGGTGTACTTGTGTAGTTCACACAGTTGATGCGGAGCCAATGAATGGGAGGATAGTGATTAAAGTGACAATCCCAGGAAGATGACCTTCAGGTTATTATAGACTGTTGAGGACTTGCCTGCCTGCCTGTCTGGTTTCTCAAGACAGGTTTTAAGTAGCCTTGGCTGTTCTGGATCTCGAGGTCCTTCAGGGGACATTTCAGATCCAAACCACAAGGGAATATTACTCTTCAGATGCCATAGCATCTTGCTATGTAGCCCAGGCTAGCCTTGGAGTCACTGATCTTCCTGCCTCTATTCCTAGAGTACTGGAACTGTATTATGCCCAGCAAAAACAAACAAATCTTTTGAGGTTTACCTCTTCCTCTTGTGCCTAAGTATCTAGTTTGGGGTACTAACAGGCTCTGGTGAATAAGTAATGATGAATACTGTACTTTAGTTCTTTAATCTTGTTTACAGGAGGATCAGGAGTTCAAGGCCAGACTGTGTTTACACAGGAGACACTATGACAAAACACATATACAAACAAAAAATCAAGGCTGGAGATAGGGCCCAGCAGTTAGGAACACTTGCTCCTGCCAAGAACTTGAGTTTGGTCCCCAGGACCCACACAAATGGCTAGCAACCATCTGTAATTACAATTCTAGGGCACCTAACACCCTCTACTAGCCTCCAGGGGAAAATACATACAAGCAAAACACTTACACACATGAAATAAATCTTTAAAAAATTTTTTGTGGGGAGGGCCTAGGCCCTGCCTCGGATATGACAGACTTTGGAGACCTACCCCCCATGAAGGGCCTCACCCTCCCTGGAGAGTGGAGGATTGGGTGGGGTATTGAGAGAGGGTTGAAGGGAGCCAGGGGAGGAGGAGAGGGAGAGAGAGCTTGGATTGACATGTTAAGCAAGCTTGTTTCTAATTTAAACTAAAAAAAGTTTAATAAAAGAAAAAAATTTTTGAGACTGTTTTTCTGTGTAGCTTTGGAGCCTGTCTTGGAATTTACTCTGTATACCAGGCTGGCCTTGAACTCAGAGATTAGCTGTCTCTCTTCCCAAATACTGGGATTAAAGGCATGTGCCACCACTGCCCGGCAAAAGAAACAAAAATTGGGAGGGGGAGGAAGCCAAAAAACCCAACCAGTCAGTTGATTTGATTGTATAAGTGCTTAGCCTACACTGATGTTAAAGATAACTGGATGCTTAGCAGTGGTAAACCACTCACCACTACTTGAACTGAATCTGGACATCTCTCAGTGACCTTGAAGCAAGAGACTTAATTAAAATCCTAAATCCATATCTATACTGGCTGAATTCAAGCTAGTATCTAAATCCTCACTCAGTTACTTTACCCAGGGTGTGGGCATCTCTCTTGTGTATGGAATAACCAGATGATCACTGTAGAGGCCCAGGTACACAGCAGAGCTGTTTACTATTGTTGTTGGCTTTTACACTTTATGCCACAATTAATTTTGATGTGACAAAATGCACCCAAAGCTAGTGGAAACAACTGGAAATTTACAGGCTGACACAACAGGGAAGTGGGAGTCATCTTGACTTGAGCTGTGTCTGAAGCAGAAGTGGTCAGATCTTACACCTGCATTCCTGTGTGGGTTATCAAATTGTAACATGCTTTTCCTCCCTCAGGGGCACAACTGCCAGATCCCAAGTCTACTCACCATTTAGCAAATCCAATGTGACCCGACATGACTGGCCAGGCTTACAAGGAATGTCGATGGTGTTGAATAGGCTACATAAACAGACCAGGAAAGGGCTGCACAAACCTAGGTGGCTAGAAGGGAGAGTAAATGAGGCAAAGCAGAGTAAAACTGCAGTGACCGGCCAGGAGGTGAAGGCGTAGCCTTTAATCCCAGCACTCGGGAGGCAGAGGCAGGGGCATCTCTGTGAGTTTGAGGCCAGCCTGATCTACAGGGCTACACAGAGAAATCCCCCCCTCACACACCCCGACACCTACCTCAGAGATGGTTCTATCTCGAAAGCACAGTGGGTCCAACCAAGAATTCAGTTTGATTTTAAAAATAAAACCAAACAACTTTATTTGACAAAAGACAAAAACCAGTTATTTACAGTAGTTTTTTGCTCAAATATTGTTCAATGGGACAACCACACTTCTCCAGATTTCTTACAAGCAACCTAAGCAGAGACTGCCCCATCCCTCAGATGCCCCATTTTATTCCAGGAGGGGGAATGCCAGAATATGTCAGCAGCATGGCTCCCTCCCTCCTCCCCTGCTCAGTGCACTGTGGGGGAGAAAGCTCCCACTCACCCCTGACCACAGGTATCCTGCAGCAATCCTGGGATCTAGGCTCACAGACAGCGGGGGGCAGAAATGGGCAAACAGCAAACTCTATGAAGCTGCCATGTTCATCCTTCCCCAGAAATGCCTGGAAGGGATGAGGATGCTAGACCCCCTGGAGGGAGGTACGAGATCCAGCCTAGGAAAGCAACCCCCACAGAGAACAAGTCTCAAGTTCCTACTTGCACAGTAAGGGATGGGGCTAAGCTACTTAGGAGAGGTAGGGAAGCCTGTAAGAGTGGCAGGGGGCTCCCTAAAAAAGGCCAGAATGGTGTATCTCTCTGGGACAGGCACTCCAAGTCAGTGAACACCCAGGAGTCCCTGCTCTGTTCACAACCTAATAAATGTCAGGAAATTACAGTCAGAGCTCCTCAAATCTGGTTATTCAGAACGCAAATATTTTGGTTAATAAAACCTAGGATTAGTGTTTCTTAGGATATATAAAGATGGGGTAAACTGTTGCTGAAAACTAACAAAAGAGCAAAGTAAAAAAGGGAGGGGAGAGATTGAAAACACATGTGACCTGTTTTGGGGGAAATTTAGGCAATCTCTTAAAATTGCAACTTGAAGGAGGTGAAACAGACACAGCTCCCAGGTGATGGGCCCATCTGTAGCTGGACTAGCCCTTTCCCTCAGGAAGGTTCCAGCTATCTTTGGGGATCAAGTGGCATGTTTTAAGGGCCTCCTGACCAGCAGATTGCTCACTTTTCCCAAAGTAGGAGATGCTGGTGCTTTTGATATAGGACAAAGTTCCTGAATGAATCCAAACAGGTTACAAAAAAAAAAAAGGGGGGGGGGCGCACAGGAAAGATGATACCCAAAAGAAGAAAACAAAAACTGTTTCAGTCTAGTTTAACCACCCCAAAATACAAAAACAAAACAACAACCAAAACCCCAATATGTCTCTGGCTTTTTCATCTGTCTCTGTCTAAATGGCTGTCTGGTTCAGGTGGACTTGGCTTCGGTTTTATCCCCTTCTGTGCCTGGTGCAAATAATCCAACACCTGTAGGTATTTTCCTTCAGTCTTTTACAATAGAGTAATCCAAACCAAGAATCAATCAACCACTTCCAGGTGGAATTTAGTACAGTCGCAGAGACCCTGCTGGTCCCTTATACAATCATCCCCAATGCAGCGGTAGATCACCCCGTATATAAAGCTCCATCGTATAAGGTGCTCTCTCCCCACACCCGTGCTTCCTTCCGGGCTACCTACTGCCATCAATGCAAACCACAGCAAAAGGAAAATAAACAATTTAGCAAAAACCTAAACATTCAACTGGAGTCGGTTCTGTGACTTCTGCTGGGTCTTTCCTTTGTCTTTTGAGTAAGTTGGAATGTGCACACCTGGCATGACCAAAAGAGGCACAGCTTAGGGGCAGCTTGGACCTAGCTCAGGTCTGAACCCGGCAGGTTTCCTGAGCCTGCCTAGGAAGCAGGCTGGAGTGCAGGTGTCCCAGGGCTCTCTGGAGAAGCAGCAGCAACACCATGCCTGGCTCTGGTGTCTTGGTCTCCTCAAAGAGGAAGTTTGAAGGAATGTAGTCAGCAGAGTACAGGCCCCCATAACAGTGCAGTGACACCAGCTGCTGTCTTTCTGCTGAGGACCTCTGGACGACAGAGATGACCCAGATGCTTGGCAGTGATCTGCAGATAACCCTCTGCGTGACGTGAACCAGGAACCCGAGACAGCTGGCCTGAGCCTCAAGCAGCCTGGTAGCAGGTGCCTACTTGGCATTTTCTGAGACCAGAGGGAGAGAAGTGTGTAGTAACGGGGGCGCTGGGTCCTGCTGCTTCTGAAGCTCCATCTCAGCCGCCCGCTGCAGTGCCACCTCCACCAGCAACTGGAAGCTACTGAAGTCTTCCTTGTCCTGCTCTGGGGGTGTGGGTGGCGGCGTGTTGAAGAGTCCACCTGTGGGGCTTCCAGCCTCGGCCCTAGTCAGCAGAGTGAGTGTGCTCCCAGGGGTCACCAGGGCCTTGGGGGATTCCAGCTCCACCTGCGGGAAGGGCACTGCTGGCTTTTCTCCTTGGCTCGAGTGGAGCGGCATGGAACACACGGACAAGGAGAGCACATTGGTGGGGGCCGGTACAGACACAGCCAGCAGTGAGGGGCTGCTGCCTCTGGGGAGAGCCACATCAGAGGCCTTACCCCCACGACGGGAAATGGTGAACTGATTGGGGTCTTTGCCATCCTTCCGAAGCATGTCTGGGAGAAGGCGACGCCGGGCATTGATGAACCAGTTACATATCTAAAACGAGTGTTAAGAGACTGTAAGTTAAGTCCATTCAAAACAGCTATGTTGTGGACATCTAAGTTGTTCTATTACCAATAGACTCAGGGGTCAGGTATTTGGGATATTGGGGTAAAAGTTTGATAGATCTTTACTTCTTCCTGTGTCGCTCTATCAATATCCTAGGTTCTCCATCTGTATTCTCTATCAAATTCTTGTCAGTGAGTTGCTGGCTCCGCCCCCTACTCAATATCCTGCAACAAAGCTACAAAGTGCTCACTGTTCCAGACACCAAGACACAAACAGCAGCAAACAAGCAGACAAGGTGCTGGCCAGCGGAAGGGAGGGACAATGGTGTCGAAGGAGCTAATGGTGATGTGGACTTGGGGAAATAGCTTCTGAAATCTAGAAAACAGATGGGTGTGGTGGAGCACACCTTTAATCTCAAAGCTAGAAGGCAAAGGCAGGGGATCTCCATGAGTTCAAGGCCAGACTGTTCTACATAAGAGCTCCATGAAAGTCAAGGCTAAATAGACCCCATTTCAAATAAGAAATCTGAAAGAAAAGCAGTTGAAACGGGAGACAGGTAGGAGCAGTAGTGGCAGCAGAGCACCCATGAAAAATAAGCTGACGGCAGGCGTGTGCGGCCGGGGTTCAGTGTGGTTATTAGAGGTCACCTCTTAGGGTGAGGACTTAGTTCACCAGATCTCATTCAAGGTGGTTGTGAGCCACCACGTGCTTGTGGGAATTGAACTCAGGACCTCTCGAAGAACAGTCAGTACTCTTAAGCACTGAGCCATCTCTCCAGCCCTGAGGACTTAGTTTTTCTATGGACAAAGGGAGCTACAGGAGTTATTGGTATGTATGTATGTATTTATTTTTAAAGATTTATTATGTATAGTGTCCTACCTACTGGCCTGAAGAGGGCACCAGATCTCATTGTAGATGGTTGTGAGCCACCATGTGGTTGCTGGGAATTGAACTCAGGACCCCTGGAAGAGCAGCCGGTGCTTTTAACCTCTGAGCCACCTCTCCAGCCCTATTGATTGATTGAGGCAGGGTTTCACTATGTAGCTCTGTTCTGGAACTCACTCTGTAGATCAGGCTGGCCTCGAACTCAAGAGACCTACCCGCTGGGATTAAACTTGTGCACCACCACCATCCTGTTTGAGTTTTTTTTTTTTAAATCTGTGTGTGTGTGTGTGTGTGTGTGTGTACTCGTGTGCATGTGCCTGTAGAAACTAGAGGATAATTTGTGGGAGTTGGTTCTCTCCATCTTGTGGGTCCTAGAGATAGAACTTCAGGTTGTCAGGCTTTGTGGCAAGTAGTACCTCTGTCCACCAGACCATCTTACTGACCCTCAAGTAATCGTATCAGCCCATAGGAGGGTTTTAAGCAAAGGAATGACCTATTATGTAGAGAACAGGCTGGATACAGAGATGGATGGTGGTTCAGATTACATTAAGGGAGGTGACAGGAAGAAAATGATCTGTTTAGGAAACTAGCTTCCAGGCTAGACGTAGGTGGGTATAGCAAGAATGATGCTAAGAGTGACTCAGTCCTAGGCCTGTAGAGCAGTTGTAGACCAGAGAAACACAGGGATGCCAAAGGGGCTATCAGGGAGAGGAAAGACTGTTCCTAAGCAACACTAGGACCATGAGGCACGTTGTCCCCCGCAGTATGGTGAGACATGCTGCAAAGCTCAAGGGGAAAGGATCTAATGCCCTGTACCCCATGTGCCCATGTATTTATTTATGCAGTGCTGGAATAGCACCCCTCAGTCTTGTTCATGTCAGGCAAGTGATGTTCTCTTTCTGACCTCTTCCCTGGTGTAATATTCTGTAAAGTGCAATGGCTAGTGAGTCCAGCTAGAAAGAGCTTGTCTCCTACTGCCACCAGTCTGAGTCCAGATTCCCCAGCCAGGAACGAAAACCCCTGCCTCATCTATTTTTCCAACCCCAAGCCATTCCTTCCTTTCTTCTGCTCTAGAATATTATTTTAGGGTGTGTTACTTTTGTTTATGCTGTGGGTCCTAGAGACGATGTAACTGTGAAGCTGTGATTCTTTGCCTGTCTAAAACATTGATGATCTAACTGAAGAGCTGAATGGCCAATAGTGAGGGAGGAGAGAGGATAGGTGGAGCTGGCAGGCAGAGAACAGGAGAAATCTGGGAAGAGGAAGAAGAGGAAGACAGAACAAGGAGAGAGGACACTAGGGGCCAGCCGCAGAGTAAGAGTGAAAGTAAGATTACAGAAGTAAGAAGAGAGAAAAGCCCAGAGGCAAAAGATGGATGGGATAATTTAAGAAAAGCTGTCTAGAAACAAGCCAAGCTAAGCAGGGCATTTATAAGTAATAAGATTGTGTGTGTGTGTGAGGGGGGGGGGGGGGAGAGAGAGAGATAGATTTCGGAGCTGGGTGGCGGGTCCCAAAACAGTAAAGATTAAAATAACAGCAGCATGTGAAACAGCTTTTAGGCCCTGCTCATTCGAAACGTAACAACAAAACACACAAGTGAGCCTTTAGTCCCAGCACTCTGGAGACAAAAGTATTGGATCTGAGTTCCAGGACAGCCAGGGCTGCACAGATAAGCTGTGTCAAAACAAACAAACAAACAAACAAACAAAAAACACCAAAATTCCAAAGAACTCTATGCCTTCTACATAGCACATTCCCCTTTTTTCTGGTATGCTTTCTTACCTAATGGTGGATAAAGGTGCAGGTTTTTGTGTGTGTGTCTGCAGTGCAGATTTCTCCAACAGCTGTCCCTTACCCAGCACACTGCATTGGATTTTCTTCTAACCATTAAATGCGCTGGGCCTTCTCCAGTTTCCCTGGTGAACAGACTTAAAGCTCAGCCAGACAGGAGCCAGGATAAAAGAGTCACTTCTCTCTACAGCTGTCTCAGGACCCAGAGCCCAGCTTGCTGTAGTCCCTAGAACAGTTGAGTTAGAGCCCACCATCTTTCCCTGCTTTCTTTCAGGGCTTCTTATTCATATCATTTGTTTGCCGACTCTGTATCAGGCCAGTTCTTGGTGCATGCTGGAGCCCTTTTAACACTTAAGTCCCCTGCCCTGAGGTGCTAACATTAACATCCATCTGGTTGTGCAATGGTAGTAAACAAATAGATGAATGACCACTAGTACATGTCCAGAAACAGGAAGGAATAGTATAAAAACCTAAGATCCCTCTCTACTTCCTGTTGGCCATGAAGTAGCTCCTCCACTGTCTAGCACACTGCTGCTATGCCACTGCTTCATAACTAGCCCAGAAACAAAGAGCAAGCTATCATGGACCAGGCCTCTGCAACCATGAGCAATAAAACAAACCCTTCCTCATTAAAAATAAATATCAAACATCAGAGACAGAACTAACGGATCTGTGAGAAAGTATAATCAAGGGCTAGGGCCAATCACATACAGCAAATGCAAAAGGGTCATTGAGCCAATGAAGTCAGCTGTGATGGTACACACCTGTAATTCCAGCACTGGAAGGTTGAGGCAAGAAGTTTCAAGTTTGAGGTCCACCTGGGCTACTTAAGACCCTACCTCATCTCAGCCTGGACTCTTAGGGGAGTGCCTGGACCCTACCCAGAGTGAAATGACAGACTCTAGATATCCCTATGTGGAAGGATCTGGCAATAGGGTGGGAGGGTGGGGGGGGAATGAAAAATGAAAAGAAAAAAAAAAGACCCTACTTCAAACAAAAAAATGAATGGACAGACTGAATCTGTGTTATTCGTGCAGTCCTAGCTACCCAGGAGCCTAGGCAGAGCAAGCAACGCAGTAAAACCCCACATCCAAGAACAACAAAAAATGGATAAGGATGACTAGCTCTTGGTGGCAGGGCTGATGATCTCACTAGTTGTGAACATTGTGTGGTTTCATTAAGTTTCACATGCTAGGTCCTGCTGGCCTGTTGGTTCATCAGCAGATACTCTTGGAGCCTGTACTAGGTACCAACTGCCATGGGAAAAAGAACAGCCAGGGGTCTTCTTCATTTCCTGATAAGGCCGCAGCAATGCTTCAAACTTCCCTACTGTCTGCCTAGGAGGTCAGAGACCCAGGCCCTTGTACCCATATCTGTCCCTGACTGTTACCAGGCTTCTTTCTTGGCACGTCTCTTGAGCAAGCCCTTGGGTCTGGTCTTCCCATGGACCTCGGCCATGTTTAGCAGAAGAGACGAACACCCGTGCTGGAGACGGATCCGCAATAGGGGCAGCTCAGTATCTTCCCCCCACAGAAGCACCCTGGCAGACTGACCATAGACAGACACCTGTGGCTCTCCTTTCAAGAGGGCCTGCCCCTGAGGAACTTTTACTCCTCTTCACCTCAAGGGTTCCCCCAGTGTAACCAGATAACAGCAGGCACTGGCAGATACTTGCTGGAGTTCCGACCGAGTCCTTTAGAAAAGGTAGGCTGAACTGCTGGTGGATGAGAAGGAAGAAAGGAATAGCTTAAGCACCTTTGACACCTGTTTCTTGCCAACCTTCTGGACATTCTGCTAAATGTGCACACAAGCCCGAGAGACAGTAGCCAGTGTTCCCAAAGCCATAGAGAGGGGCGTACAGAGATGAAGAGATGTACCCAGCCACACTGCCTTGGAGTGCACAGCTGGTTTCACAACCGGGTCTCTTGGTTAGCGGTCCACTCTTCTCTCACCTGGCCTAGGGACAGCTAAGTAATGCTCACAACCTCAGCTCCAGATGAACCCACTCATCTAACCTCCACCAGCCTATATGTGACATGGGCTTGTGACAGCATCCACGGTTGAAGTGGTGGCCATCACTAGGAGTCCAGTAACTTTCCCTTGGGTCTCAGGTTTGACCCCCCAGGGAGTGAGCTGAAGACCCTTTCTCCCACCAAGGGTAGCACCTGTCCACACGCTTCTTTCCTCACCGTTCTGGAACAGGAGTCATGCGCCTCTCTACTTTACCGAGGATGTGAGGTGGTGGGAACTTGTTTTAGTGACTTGTCCAGTAAAGTTGGGAAGAATGTAGCTTTGCAGAAAGCAGCAAGGCT